AGCACAAGCACGGTCGCTCGATGCAGGTGGAATGGTGCCGTCACGAACCCGAGGACGGAGGTATATGCGACGTGATTAATCCTCATAGCCGTCGTGGTTGGCGTTGTGGACGTCACAGACGACTGCCACGAGTGATCCGTGAAGTGGGTAAGCGAGGTGGAAGTTTCTAAAACCATCCACCAAGCAACTGGATACGGCCAAAGTGGGACTTCGTATCATGCGAGTTATGTTTGAAAACAATTCTTTCAAGCAGACGACACGATGATTCACCCTTCGTTGCGCAATTCTTGGCGGGACGCCAGGGCTCCCCTCTTCGCTTGCCTTAGCTCGTTTCACGCAGCACGGACGGCGGACGGGGAGTCCCAACTTCCTCTCCTCGCAAAAAAAAAAAAAAAATGTTGCGCGCGGCGACGAGGACGCGAACTAAGTGTCGCCCATAAATCTATCGCTTTAAAAGTAATCGATTACAAGTAATTTGATTATGTGTAATGAGTACCGTGCAAGTCTGACGGGAGCTGACGATGGAGGGTGTGGACGTGCTTTTAGAGAAAGAAATGTCTGTCCTAATAGGCATCATCAATGGTTCTGCAAGGCGCTATGGGGCACAAGGCCGGAAGGCTGAATTTTCTGCGTCAGGGGCACACGCTGGTGCATGAATTGGACCCGAGTGCGACGTCAGCGTTCAGATGACACTCGTCTTCAAACAGTGAGCAGACGTGTCTGACTCAAACAGAAAGTTGAGCCCTCCGGCCTTGTCTGCGAGGGGTTGTCTAGGGACTCAAGGGGTGTACTCATGAGTGAGCCTAGATTTGAGAGCAGTCTCGACCGAGGTCACATGGTTTCCAGCGTCTTTGCCCAACGCTGGCCTTCTCGCCGCCGTAACATCGCCCTCCTAGTGAGCCAATCGGCCAGCGGCGCACAGTGCGAGGCGCGAGCGCATGCGCGTGAACTCCCAGCTTCTTCCAGCTGTGCGGGGAGGGCCGCCATTTTCATTAATTCGCCCGGTGGAATGCATGGGATCGACATCCAAAGTTTGCTGGCTCTGGCAACAAAATGATACAGTGTTATTCCTCGGCGAGTTGAAAAGCTAACGAATGATGCTTTCTCGACGTTTGACCACAAACTTTCATTCAAGCGAAAAAGAAGTCGGCCCGTAGCAGACCACGCGTAGCCTCACCAGTACTCGGCGCCGAAAGCGTGTTACGTCAAAATAACGAGTCTCTGCAGATGGTTTTTGCCGTCCCGCAACGGCTCCCCACTACGACACCCGAACTCTAGAGTCAAGGCTATCGGCGCGCAGGCGCGGTAGCGACTTCTTCGTTGTGGAGGGCTTAGCTGGGGGAAACACGGTCCACGAAAACTCCCTAATGGTGGTCGTTTCCCCCTGCTCCCTCCTTCCTCAGGCGGCGGAGAAAAGCTCACCGCAAAACCGGCAGAGGCGGAGAAAAGCTCACCGGCCTTTGAGCGGATGCGAAAAAAAGCTCACCGATTTTTTTTTTTTTTAACTTAGCGGATTTTGCGTTAAACGTGGCAATTTAACACAATTCGCATTCGTCACTTCATCAAAAATATGTCCTCTTTTTTGTAATATTCTTGAAGTTCATTGGACGTATTTACTAATTCCTCAGAAATTTGTAATCCCCCATTCTGTATATTAATGAAGCCGCAAGGGTATCAAATCAGAACATCGTACACCGGTAAAAAAAAGGCAATTTATTGACAACTGACAGTGCGCCGTCGGTAGCGCTGTCAAATAAAAGTTTATTCTTTGCGAGCTAATATGAATAGCGGTCTGTGAACCATTTCAGCTCCAAATATTGTGTAGTGCGTAATAGATAAGTAATATGTTTCTTGATGTAATCAGTGTCGGCTACGCTGTTTTCTTTTTGTTCATTTCACTCACAAAACTTTAGTTGCGAGAAAAGGGGGGCTATGTTGCGTTTTTTGCACTCCCAGGACACTAGAGAGAAGGAAGTGACGTCCACAACGCAGCAAATGCAGATTGGATGTTGATTTTGTTTTCTTCTGTCAACATCCAATCGGCGTTTGCTCTAGTCGTTGACGTCACTTCCTTCTTCCAAGTCTCCTGGGAGCGCAAAAAGCGCAACATAGCACCCCAGCTTCGTCCTGTCGTGTTTTTTGTGTTCACTCAGTCGTCGTCGTTTGAGCGGTTTTTATAATGTATAACGTTCACAAACTCACCCAATTCGCTACCTTACAGAAGACTAGTTCTTATATAGGTCACGCGTAACAACGGTGACAGTGTGCAGCTCTGAAGGTCATGGGGGGCTCACTGTAGAAGGGCACTATCACTCAAAGGCAACGTGTGGAAACACCAGCACGAACGGCTAGAAAACGAGCATGTCCGTGGAAGAAAGAAGCCTCGATATCCTACTGAGTATTTTATCCTACTTTCAAAGGTTAACAGAAGCTCCAAAGATAACTTCAGGCACCGCGTTGTTGCGTATGCACTTTCGAATTTCGAAATTTAGTTTTGATTTTTAAGTTTTAGGCATACATTATTAAGTTTTCGAACTTTTTGCTGTTCTTCAAGTTCATAGTTTCCAGTTAGGCTTTCGTCGCCTAGAGAGTAAGCCACAGAAAACACTCGCCCGCAATTATTAATGTGGGAGCAATATACCCAATAAGCTTAAGAAATAATACGTAAAAGAACATTTTCTTTTTTTACAAAGCTGACAAATTTTAATGATAATAAATTGATATATGTTACGCACGATCCAACAACACCCATATAAAAAGAAGAAAAAAAAAATAGGTGAGGTTTTCTTCGCATACGGTCAATGACGGGTGAGCTTTTCTCCGCATCCGCCGGTTTTGCGGTGAGCTTATCTCCGGTGAGCATTTCTGCGGTGAGTTGTCTCCGGTGAGCTTTTCTCCGGGATTGCCTTCGCATACGGTCAATGGCGGGTGAGTTTTTCTCCGCATCCGCCGGTTTTGCGGTGAGCTTATCTCCGGTGAGCATTTCTGCGGCGAGTTTTTCTCCGGTGAGCTTTTCTCCGGGATTGCCTTCCTCTCTCGCTCCATCGGCGCTCTCCATTTCCTCCAACTTCTCTCCAGCGCCTTCATCGCCACGCCTACTGGCCTTTGACGAGATATTTTGGTGACGACGGGGCGGGTAGGATGCGAGCAGACGACGCGCTGAGTAATAGCACGGGGTGGCTATGTTATTATTATAATGCAATTAAATGCAAAGGTGCAAGCGAGCTGGACAAGAATGACGAAAGTAATCCCTGGAGAAGGGGAACAAGAGGGACAAAGGACAAATATAAAACTCCGAACACAGCTATACTCCGTTTCACCTTCCGTCCGAGCACAGCGGACGCTAGGAGCCATCCCAGCCAATGCGGCGTCGAGGGAGTGTCATGCGACCTTGAGCTCCCTGTGTCGCCCCGCCCCACCGGCAGGTCACGCGACTTTCCCCCGGCGCTGGATCGGCTGGGATGGCTCGTGGCGTCCACTGCGCTCGGACGGAAGGTGAAACGTGTAATGGAGAGGGGTTCGATACCCGGACCAGGCAAATTTTTTTCGGTCGCTCACCAGTCACCTAGCTGTGTTTGGAGTTTTATGTTTGGCTATGTTAGTTCGCATTTATGCCGATTAAAAACGGTTCATTTATTAAAGAAATGCGTATGATGCTTTTGCGAGTGCGCGGCATGCGTGAGGTCACAGCCTCTCTGATTCTTGTTTGTTTTAGAATCTGTGGAGGCTCCAGTACAAAAAGGTTTTGAATACACCCGAGTAAATGACGTGCTGTCAACTTAGCAGAGGCATCCCAACTATTCCAAAGACGCGGGGAGGGGGTGAACGAGGGTGGTGATAGGGGTCGAGCGAGATTTTTCACCCCCTTCCCCGTATTTCCTACATTTAGTTTTTCTGTTATTGAAATGTGTGGAGAAACTGGGGGAGTAGGGGCAGTCTCTGCACCCCCCCCCCCCCCCCCATCCCCTTCCCTCGTTTTGACGCCAGTGCGCACGATGAAGATGATAACGATAATCGGTCAATAGAAAGTTTTAGGGAACCGTTTTTAAACACCCGATAGGTTATACGATGGTCCCTCCGGTACGAACTGCGCATGCGCCAAAGCAGAAGACTCGGATATGCGCAGTCGTACCGGAGGGCCTATCGTACAGTGTCGGACGTGCAAAAACGGTTCCCTAAAACTCTAGTGCTGAAACTCTGGCATCAAGCACTAGATTTGGGTGCAGAATGAGCGTTCAGCGATGCAATTTATTTTGGCAGTGGAAAAAAACGTTGTACACTTTTTTGGGGGGGGACACGCTGTACTAATCTGCGCAAGTGTCCGCCATCACATTGCATGTGCTATCCTTCTTTAAATTTAGGCTGTTAGCATCCTCTAGGCAGAGTTGTCTGAAGGCATAATAATTCATACCAGTAATAGGTTTCAGTTTCCGTGATTTGCACATAAAATTCCGTGCGCTATATATATATATATATATATATATATATAAATCAGGCAAGCTCTTCTAAAATGAAAGGGCTCAGAGGAATACCGCCTAAAAGACAAGGCTCACACCTTTCACCCAGTACCTGACAAAACAAAATTAATAAAAAAAAAATGGACTGGCAATTTGGTTAGCATATAAAATTATGCCCCAAGCTGCGAAAGTACTTGGTCCTTGGGTCTGGAAGTGCGACACCAACGACTGTTGTTACGTGCAAAAAAATTAAAACAGATGAACGGCGATGCTATCGGCAGCGCGGACATGAATTTATTGCAGCAGCGAACACATATAAATATCAAAGGTCAGCCACAAAAAGTAGCTTGTCACAAAACTGAACAAAGGCGCAGCGTTCCGTCTTGTGGAGCACGCCGCAAGGCACAGATCTGCATCAGCATTGTCGCACACCCCACAATATTACACGCAACAGAACCCAACGGCACTGAAGTGGAGTTCAAGGCACGAAATAAAGACAACAAGGAGTAATTGGGAGGTGGCTTCAGCCACACATACAAAACAGTATGTGTCGAAACCTGGAGGCCTTCACATTTTGCCTGTCCTCGACATCAAGAAACACTGTCTGCTGATGAACAGGAGGGGTTCAGTATATTGCCCCACATGCTACCTGCAGTCTGTTGCAGGTTTGGAATAGCAGCAAAAGCTCTTCCCACAAGGCACTTTACTCTTTCTACTTCAGCAGAAGAAAGCTTGAGAGAAGGAAACCCCTTAACACGGCCAGCAGAGAGCTTTAGCGGGAGAAGCTTGTCCTGCTACTCCAAAGCTGCAAAAGGCTGTGGCCCGTTCCGATTGGCAGCGTTTGCACGAATGCCGCAGCACCTTATTGGACTGTTGATTTTCGACCCATCACACGCACCAGATCCTTATCTCCCTTCCCCTCGCCCAATGCTGTGCTTTGTTAGGGGGCCCAATGCTATGCTTTGTGCCTTACAAGCGCAAGCGCTCGCTCGGTGAAAGCACGTTTCAAAATTGCAATCTCGGGCCTGTTGCCTTTGCCGCCCTGAGAATTTAAATCTGTACAGTACTCCAGAGATTCCAGTCATTGTCTTTCTGTTGCTCAAATATTATCTATGTAAACATTATATATGTAAAATATAGAAGCAGAATTGTTGTATGAAACAGTTGCAGATTTTAAACTCCGCTGTGTTACGGAAGGTCACTTGCAGCATAGCTCGCAACCTTCAAAGGTTTGCGCACCGTTTGTGAAACAGACCGCACACCTCTAATAGAAACATAAGGCAGCTTGGAAGGGAGTTGTTGTTGTCAGCGATGTAAAGGTAGGAAAATGGAAGAGAGTCAATCGTGCGCTCGTTTGGGGCGAATCGGCAATTAAAGGCACCAACTGAACCAGTAGGTCATAAATTTAGAGTTGCATTATTTCGTAAAGAACTTTGCTGCTCATCTCGTGACATAGAAAGGGCCAATAAATTTTGCTGTTTCTGAAAAAGAGCACACTCGGGAAGTGACAAGAATATTTCAGCATAATTCTACCCTTTGTCTTTCAAAAGTTTAGAAGAAACCTTATTATCATCTGCTACAGATGCAAATGCATGCCTCGTGAGAAAAATAAAAAGATGGCTGCTATCAAAATTAAAAGCATTACAATTTGCCAGCAAATATTACTTGTGAGTTTCTGCAACTCTCTTAGTTTCTTCAAAATGCCAAGTTTGAAGAAACTGAATTCCATAAATGCCACAAATTAATTGAGGAAATTTAAGATTAATTTACTGTTTCCCTGCAAGATGTGAAGAAAAGCAGTCCTTGTTTGCTTCAACATACTAAAGTAACAAGTTCAAGCGCTGCCACAATACAAGCTTATGCAACATCAATCATTCGTGGGATTAAAATACATTCTGCGCACAAACACCTCGTTGCTTTCTGGATCGATCTACATGGAAGAGACACAAAGATATTGCGGTTACAATGAAAATGTTGATGATATTTTGGTAGTTGGGACAACCCTTACACGAAACAATACAGCATAAGCAATTGTATCTATTGTCGTGCACAGGCCACCCCTTCTGCCTTTGTTGCACATCATTGCATAGAGAAAACGCCACCAAAACTGACAGAGCACAATTTATACAAAAGCACATGTTAAAATACCAAATAATTCACCTGAGAGAAAGTTCACTGATCGCCGAGATAAAAGTTGTATAAAGTTATTGAGAAACAGGCATGAGCCTTCCACCTTGAAAAACAAAACAGAACAAAAAAGCAGTTCAAACATTCCTCACAGTGCTGGTAAATGAGCTACGACGCTTCAGCGAGCTCGACTAGCACACTCGCGGCAAGTAATGTCATTGAGATAAGAGATGACGCTGGCGAGTTATATCTCTTGACAGTTATACCTGCTGCATTAGTAAAGGGGTAACAAGTTGGAAAATAATTTCCTAAAACACAAACATCCATAAAACCGGGCCTTGTGATAGAAAGCAATGCAAGAATAGTAGTAATGAACGGAGGTAAAATTATTTTGGCCTGACAAACAGAACTGGCCATGAAGAGGGCTAAACTATGAACTAATTAACAATACATTCCTGGTATATTTAGAAAGATTATTGCAAGCATGCTTGAACAAACAGTTCTTATTTAAATAAGGAACGGCAACAGTCAATAATCTCGACACAGAGTGCTATGAAATAGGCTTTCAGGCAACAATACGACTCGTACATAAAATGCAAAACTCAAACTTGAAAGTCCATACAACGACACAAAGGAAAATATCAAAAATGAAGACAACACCTCTCTGAATGCTGCTTATAAAAAAATTCAGATCTCTTGGGATACCTATGGTAAGAACCTGAGATAACAAAATGAAGAAATCAAGACTGACAATAAACTCATTCTCATAGTTTCTCTTTCAATGGTACTCTTTACAAAAAAAAAAAAAAGATGTAAAAAATAATGAGTCTAAAAAACAAAAACAAAGTAGTTTCTGTTTTTATAATAATGTCATAGACAGTCATTATGATGTTCATGTCACAATGTGCATAACCTATCATACAAAAAGTGGGCAACAGTGTATCGGAGACCTGGCTAAGCTTCTGCTCTCCCACATTAGGTATGATGTGGGAGAGCATCAAACTTAAGGTTCCCAGAAAAACATTAAGCACCACACTCCAACTTAGCATTGAGGTATATAATTGTGGCCTACATTGCTATACACTTCAAATGTTGCTTGGAAAAGCAAGTTACATAAGTTTGAACAGAAGATGTGGTTGGTTGATAAACAGCTAGGATGCATAGTCGTAAAAAACAGCAGATACAATCTTCGGAAGTATCAAGCCGACGAAGTGAAAACAGAAGACAAAAAAGCCAAATGGTTACTAGATCTAGGACAAATGAAACACATTCCTGTGAACTCAAAACAAAGTGTGCAGCATTGTTTCATTCTTAAGATGTTTCAGATATTTTAGATCAAGCTGAAATGAAAACAGAGTAGTAAACTGCTTAAAGTTAACAAGCCTCATTTTGTGTAATAACCATGCCATTATACACATTACACAGAACAGAGACCAAAAAAGGGGCTTCAAAAAGCAGTTGTTCTTTGTGTGTATGACAATGATGATGGCGTGGACACATGACACTGACTCCTTATAGACAAGACCAGAACCGAAATCCCCAGACATCCTCAGATAGATATATATACACACACTCAGGGCCAAAGCCTGCCTCAGACAAGCAGCAGTAGCAGAAAAGATGTTTGTACAAAATCTATGAAATGTATCGTGGAACATCTGCTAAACTCACCTCAATCATACTGACCCAAACGGAGCAAAAAGCCGAACCTACTCAATCTCCACTTCAATCTCATCTTATGTCCGGTTATTTTCTCGCATCGCAACGGCGGTCACTGTGCGTATAAGATGTAAAATAAAATGACCTAAGTCAATGCAGGTATTGATAAAACAAAATAATTCATGAATAGCCTATGGCTTTGGAATAAATGGCTGACAAACTATGATTTCATGTCACATTCTTGCACAGTGGTCACGCCAAAATGAGGATCTGCACGCTGTAACTGCGACAGATCACTAGGCCGCATTGCATTCCGGCGAAGTGTGAATTATATTTCTCGAAGTTTGCAAACATTAGACACTAAATAACTTTAGCAGAACTCTCCTCTTTGGATGGCACATAATTCAAATGAGCAGTGGAAGCCAGAACTGGATAGACACTAAACATAGAACAAGAAAAGCAGAAATCAGCTAAAATATTTCTGTATTTGATTCAACCTCTGAAACAAATACACAGTTAAACCAGTTCGCCAGGAAGAACTCATTTAGCTCCCTTGAATGTGTGCTGTGGCAAAGTGACAGCTACAACAACAGAGCCCTTGATAATGAATGGTGCTCTTTGAGACCATTAAAAATTCATGAGAAGAAAAGGGATTTTTAAGCCTAATTAGGAGTGCCATATTTGCATCCAATGCAGCTCGAGCATTTTGCGGAAAATATTTGAGTCCATATTCAAATGTCTTCCAATTCAATTTCCAAATTTGCACGTCTAATGATTGCTTTACGAGGAATTAAAACCCCCTAAAGTGGCCCGATTGATAGCCAATATTATTGCTACAATTAGCTCTCCCATGTTCAGGTTGCAAGCCATGGATGCCACAGTTGAGTAGTAGTACGAGACTGCTGCTTTGCCTTCGGTAGGCATTTCTTTTATTTGTCGCTACACTACTCACGTAGACGGATAAATACAGCATCACAACGTTTCACCCCTCCATAGCACATATCTTTGCTCATAATACTGTTAACTATGCCAATCAACCTCAAATTATTCTGCAAACGTGACAAAGAAAGCATAAGTGTTTGGTTAATAAGAAAACAAAGCCATAAAAGGTTGATCACTGAGAAACCAACAAGGTCTATCCATTATCACGGGGGGAAGATCAGGGTGCAGAACCGAGACCAAACAGCTCTTTTGTCAAAGGTCTCTAAAAGGTACATACATTTAGCATGCGAGTTTTATAGGTGTTTATATAGTTTAAATGTATGCTCATAAACATGCATACGGTAAAAGAAAAAAAACGTGGTACTGTTGTAAAGTAACAGCCTCTAATCTCCATTTGAACAAAGAAGCATGCATCCTGAAGACTTTCTTTTTTGCCTTTTTTTTCTAGAATTCCTCAGGTTCAATGCTGCAGTCAGACTCCCAAGCCTGCAGTGGCATGCTGGACAGGACAGGACTGCTATGACCCCTGATTTGTTTCCTCCCGTCAGCACGCACAGACACACATTCAGGCTGAATAGATGCATCGGCAACAACGGCAACACATAAGCAAGCAGTCTGCAATTGGGCGCATTTGGGCTGAATAAATGCAAACTTTGATGGCAACATACTGGCGCCAGACCGGCAACATGGTATCAACATAATGGCAGCGTGCAAGCAACAAATGGGCTACTGGCAACAGCTGGCACCATGTGGCTGCATAAGAGCAGCATGTGGACAACGAACTGACACCAATCGGCCATATGCCAGCAACAGACTGGCACCAAACTGACAATGAATCACTCACATGTCGGTACAAACTGGCCCATATAGCAGCACACGGGCAACATGTTGGCAGCGTGTCTGTAGGTGAAGTGTATAAGTTCTGATGAAACTCAGGTCCAGAGAGCAACAGGCATGAGTGCTTCCTTGGTTCCCGACGCTGGTGTGAGGGATTCTTCCGCCAGGAATTCCTTAGGCATCTCCACTAGGTGACCCCTGACCTCTCGAAGTTCGGTTCTTGCGAGGTCTGGATTTGTGTCGGCGAGTCCCTGGATCGCCGTGAACTCCCGAAGACCGCTGAAGCTCCGTGCTTTGTCACATGGGATACATCGGAACACCTGCGAGCGTTGGCATTGGTCAGTTTCAAGGTCTAATTGAGGATTGCCTCGAACTGTGCTTCCCAGTTATGTGATCTTTTCTGATAATGCCTCTGCTAGGCTTCACCTAAAAATGTGTCTTCACAAAAGTAGCTTTTTATTTTTGAGACAATGTACTGCAAAAGTCAGTTGTGAAGTGCTGGCTTTTCCAGTCACCAGCAGAAATTAGCTTTTAAGTTGGACTCCTCCACTCATAACCTAGCCATTCTCTCGCCCTCAAACTCATGACTAGAAACAAACTGAAAACTCATTCACCCTCAATTTTAACCCCTCACTCACAAATTTAAAGTAACCAAACTAATAAGCTTAACAAACCCACACACCTCATTGAACTCATCTCACCGGACTCATGCCTGAATTCCGGATCTCACCAAACTCGCACCCCTCACTGAACTCATGATCTCCCCAAACTCTCACCTTTTACCAAACTCACAATCTCACCAAGCTTACATACCTTACCAAGCACATGATCTCACCAAACTCACACCTCTCTAAATTCATGATTTCACCTATCTCACACCCCTCACTGAATTCACACCCTTTATTAAGTTCAAGATTGCACCTGAATCACAAACTTATGTGCCTCTCCAAACTCGCACCCCTCACCAAACTCGTGATCTCACCAAACTCACAAAATCATGAACTCACACCCCTCCCTTACCTCACACCCCCACCCCCCCCTAAACCTCAAAAACTTTAAAATCTTATGAACTCACTCACCCTCACTTCACAACTAAGTGTGAGTGAGGCGAGTATAGTCATGGGCGAGTTTTGCCAAGGAGGAGACACTGGCGCAATTGACCGCGCACCTTCTCGAAGATCTCCGTGTTCTTGCGTGCGGTCTTGCGCCAGACACCGTCAAAGAAGGACGCTGCCACGGGGTCCCTCGTGTCCACGGCACTGCCCTCCGTCTCCAGGAGCCCCAGGTGTTCTCGAAACAGAGTCCTCCGCAGGGTGCCTGCAAACTTGCCGGCCGCGTACGAGCGCCCGTCCATGACCGACTTCTCCCGGTCCACGTCGTGCACTACGACCGCCAGCTCACTGTCGCGCCGCCCCATCATGCTCCGGTCGTTGATGTTCGCCGAGCCGATGATGGTTACCTCGTCGTCCACAATCATCAGCTTACTGTGGACGTACACCAGCTCCTGGACCTGATTGGAGGCGCGAGACGTGAAGACCACGGCAACAGTCAGTTTCGCGCTTCCAGGACGCTGGACACGGCGGACTTTTTTACATGCTGGTACCACCCCCATTGTGTTTTGTTGCAGGTTGCACATGCTTTGTTGTTCTCTGGCATCAAGTCTGTTTACCCCTCTACCCCAATGGCCATAAATGTGTTGCGGGGTTTGTCTTATAAATTAATAAACACATCTACCATATTTACTTAAATGCACTGAAGCTGATTTGAAGTTTATCTTTTTAATCAACCCACTCAGAAAGCCTAAAAATTCGCAAAATATTTGCATATGCATCCTGCTTTTATGTGAAACAAACAATTAAAGTTAAAAAGTGCAAGTGTGCAGGCGAGCTGGTTAGGAAACATTGTAGTCTGAACCTCAAGGCATGGAGAAATAAAATAGCGGACGAAACGACACAAAATCTCAAACGCAGCTGTTTTTTTCTGTGAGGAACAGCAATATAGTCCAAACTCATTATAACAGACCTTGATTTTGACCAAGATTTCAGTCTGTTGTAAAAGGACTATGTTGCATGCAGATATGAAGTTGAGTCAATGGCGTGTAGAGGAAACCCAACCGAACTTCACAAATCGGTATGTTATGTCTCAATGTCTGTTGTAACCAGCTCTGTTGTAATGAGCTTCGACTGTCCACATGACTATCCTTTCCTTCCCTTTCTCAGTGCAATAAAGAAAAGAAGTGTGACTTTAATTGCACATTTTACATATAGACCACAACCCCGAGTGAATAATGTGTAAAATTTTAGACTTCGTGATAATGAATCGGCTATATAAGACGAAACACTGCCAATCATCAAAATCATTGAAAGGAGACTGCAAAATAATGGGGCCCAAAAAGTTTGTTCCGCAAAATGTAATCTTCACATAATACGGGCATGAGAAACATCACGCTCATCTGAACAATACAGATAGCACTTTCATGTCAGAACATTATCTCCACCTCATTATTTATTACATTTGTTTGTGGGTCGCAACAGCTGGCTATATTCAAAGCTTACGCACTGGCCTTGTCCAGGAAGTGTCCAAAGTGCTTGAGTGCCTACAGTTAATCTGTGTTATATGTTTTCGCCGAGTGTTTCCTGCACTTCGATAATTCACATCTGGAGTCTCAAAACTAAATGCGTTACATATATACGCTCGACTTACCTCGATCCCATGGATAAAGTAGGTATCCACAGAATGTATTCTGTGGCATTTCAAAAAGTTCATGGTTGACCTTGGACATTTTTTTTTAACCTTTCTCTGATGTTAATTACCTGATGCAGTCATGTGAACTACCACAATATCCCGAAAGATGCGCACAGTCACACGGTACCTGCAAACCGTGCGACTGTAGTCCCATGGTTACCCACATGCTTACTGCCCTTGGCATAGCAAAATCGCTTCCCAGGTCTACCCTTGGCACAGAGGTAGAGTGTCGGGCTTTGAATCTTGGGGTCACAGCTGGAGCAAACCAGTGCAGCATGTAGAGAATTTCATTCTTTCTTTTTAGACATCTGTCCTTTCAAACAGATTTTCTCTCCAAATTCCGTGTCACACATTTTCGTACGTTACGTCACACTTTCCTTGATAATCCCAGCCCATCCGACTCTGTGTTAATAAAGAGCCCTCCATAAATTTTCCTCAGAAAGGTCTTCTAAACAACTTACCAGTTTCCCAAGCAGTTCATCGTGTTTCCGCAGGCCAAAGAAGTCTATGAAGCTTGTTGGATCGGGCACTGAAAATTATTAACATGCCGCTCAGCCTCCGAAATTTTTCACCTGCTCAGGTACAATGAGAAGACCTCTTCAGCTGTTCAGCCAGTCCTCATCTGCCCACTCACTGTTAACCTGCCGAACGCCTTTCACTCGCAAATATCGGGTGGGGATCGACTTAAGGGCACTGACAGGTCAAAATAATTTTTTTTTAATGATCCGAAACGATTGAGAACTATGTCCTCAGAGTTGCATCTTGGGAACTCAGTATTTGTGAAGTAATAAAACAATTTCTACAAACTGAATTTGAAGTTCCTGCGCGATCCGCGCCAGTGCGGTGACATCCGGAATTGAGTCATACGGCAACTCAAGTTTTTCTTATGCCGCCGAACCGTCCTGACCCGAAGTAACGTATTCACCCTTGGCCCACTGATCAATCACTCTTCTCCGTGCCTGCTGCCTATCTGCGTGAGCAGACGATGCCTCACTTTTAAGTTTGAAGTTCTTTTAGGGCCCTTTCAGCGATCTTAAATTCTTGGAAATGGTGTGAGGTCAAAGAGAACACGCAGAGAACTTTTGTGAGCGATGCGAGGAGTCATGTCGCGCCGGTTCTGCGTGAAAGGCTGCCCCGGCGGAGTCACAACCGGAACTACGATACAAACACCAAACAGTTGTTTTGACCGTTCGACGATTTCCGTTTCAAAGTCTGAGAGGTCGTCGGGCACCTAAAATCTCGGTGTATCCTCAGTGCTACATGTGCCAAGCGCTGCCACGTTTTCCGAGGGAGTATAAAAAGCCAAGAGGTGACATCACTCTGGGCTTCGATTTTCGGTACTTCAAAAAGAAAAGTCGTAGTGCGTTTGCAATTGCCATACCTGCCAACTCTTTCGAATTTTTCGTAAAATGTACGAATTGGTACTAATTTTACGATTTCACAAATCTTGCTTCACATTTTACGAAAAAAAAAAAAAAAACTATACAAAAAAATTTTTTTTTTAACATCTTTTTTTGTATAATTGTTGCTGGCAGTATCTTGCACCACCACAAGAGGGCGATAGGTACCGTCCATGGCACCGTCATGGTTTTTACTATCCGTCTATCCGGTGGTCATGTATCCAAAACCAATCCAAAGCCCAAAGCCTTTGTTCGTGTGTTCGACAGCGCTTGTTGGTTCGGCATGTTCAGACGTGGTTGGGCGTCTCTGTTTCGGCCAGTTTCGAGGCGAGGAGTGCGGCCTCTGTGTTTGTTGCACATGTAATCGTAGCATTCCCCTGGTCGCGGGGGCTTCGCGGCGCTATGGCGAACTCCAAACCTCAAAAGAGGTACTTTCAGGTGTTCATGAAGCCCTACACGGTGGAATTCCCGTGCCTCGTGCCGTATAAAAAGGAAGAGAAGTTTGGATTCTGTAACGCGTGCATGTGTGATGAAAGCGTTTCGCACGGTGGCAAGGCTGACATTAAGCTGCACATCGTTTCGCGTAAACCTCCCGGCGGCGGCGGAAGTTTTACGAATTTGAAAGTTCACAGGTTGGCAGGTATGGCAATTGCGTTAAAAAACGTTTTACAAATGCCATTATTAACTATTATAGAAATGTCATAATTGATTATGCCACAAATAAAAAGAAGCGAAGAGGTGAGAAGAAAGAGATGAAAGCGCCAAAAATAAAAATGCATGTGCACGCATGGGGAAATCTGTTTTTACCTTGTGGTATTTTTTTTGAGTGTCTATAAATACAACTTGCATCGTTTTAGACAATTAAAAAGATAGACCTTTGAATTGTCAGTGCCCCTTTTAAAAGCATTTAGCGTGCAACATGAGTTGGTTTCTTTCTCATGAAAAAAAACAAAACAAAAATGGCGCATGATTGTGTTTTGTTTATTTTTTGCTTTTCTTGGTTTCCCGTGTGAAGGGGGCTAGAGCAACTTCTCTAGGCTGACAAGCTGCAGTCTCTCAGATACATCCATGTCAAAAAGCTTCTGTCAGAGCTCGTCTAGCACGCTGCAATCTTTCCTGCACATCCATCCTGCAGCCTTTCATCTAACGAGACCTTTCTGCACCCGCGGTGTACTGAAGAGTTGTGCACAAGGTGCGCAAACGTGCGGAATGAGGACATCGGCAAACGCCCCTGCGCGAGCCGAAGACGCCGCTGCTTTTATGCCAAGCCCCTTCGAGCAGGACCATCCTTGTCTAATGGTGTCTAAAGCTAATGGCGCCCACGTTAAGCCTATCATGGCGTTCTGTCTCAATTTATACGTTAGCGACCCACTACAATTTTCGTTTTCGTAATGCGATAGTGTCGCTCGCGACGCGACAGGCAATAGATGATGCCGTTGACAAATAAAGTTTGTACGCACAGTTGCGCTTGACTGCATTGCGTTAACAAATGGCTGAGAGTAACCAAATCATCTATGTTTCGTGTGAAGCGTGGCAAATAATTGAAGGAGTAATTCGGCAAGAGGCATATGAAGCACAAATGCCCTGATCACTCGTAGTTGTAACGCGATACAATGCTCTTGAACCACAAAGCACTGCTACAGCTCACAACACCAGCCGCGCTCATGACCACTAAATCCTACCGAAACTGACGGTTCGTCGTTGACGTCCCCTCCTTTCCAAAGGAAGATGTATTGCGGGAAAGCAGAACGTCAGTTTCAGTTTCATTGCTTTATTTTACAACAAAATATTAAGCTTGAGGGAAATGCAAAAAAAGATTAAGCATACAGTAAAACCTCGTTATAACAAAGTTGAAGGAGCGGTCGTAATTATTTCGCTATAACCATTAGTTTGTTATAGCCAATGTCCATTTCTTCCCACTATTAGCGAGCAAGGGGAATTATGATTGCTTTGTTATATCCCTTAGTTTGTTATATCCCATTTTGTTATAATGAGGTTTTACTGTACTGCTATATCCCTACAGAGTCGGGAAAACCCCTTCTTCTAAAAGTTTTAAAATTGTCTTAACGATCACAATAAAGTAACTGTCATCAGCCTACCACTTCAAAATGGCTTTTACTAGCCGATCACTGCTTCAAGATGACTGCCATAAGCCAATTGCAACGTCAAGATTGCTGCTACCTGTCATTTGCAGCTTCAAAATGGTCCCCACCAGCCAATCACAACCTCACAGATGACCACCACCAACCAGTCAAATCTCCAAGACGGTCCCCACAAGCAAGCTAAATTGGCTCGATCCTGAAGTTCAAGCAGAAGCTCTGGAACGTGGTAGCCTGGCAACAAGCAGTGGGTCTTGTTCTCCGAAAAAGTTTCAGGTGCTCACAGCAGGGTTTATATACACACACCTCAAGGCTGAGTCCAAGAACGCTCCCCCAAAATTTCCTACACAAGCTAGACAAACCATGTATACTACCCCCTTCCCCCTTCCCTCCCTCTAACCCCCCCCCCTTCCCCATCCCTCAAAGACCCCCCTACAAAAAAGTCTTAATTCCCTGTTCCCCGATATTAACAATCCTGGATAAAGTTCTGGCTCACCGTCGGCTGCCTTGAGCCTACCGATGATGGAAGACGGCCCCCTGCACATGGAGGCATAGTTCCAGTGGGTGATGGCCTGGATGGCCGTGCCAGTGTCCGTGCCCACCTCCCCTTCGAAGGCCGGCAGCAAAGGCATCACCACGTACACCCGAAAGTTCTCCTTGTTCCTGCATACAAAAATGACCACTCGCCCTTCAGGACAACCGTCATCCGAGGCAAAAGCATCGAGGAAAGGCCGCAACATCCTGCCAAGGAACTCTGTGAAACCTACTGTGGATCCTCCGACGGTGCAGCTGTTTCTTTTTATTTTTTTGCTGGGTACATTGGCTTAAAATGGAGGTAGATCCATATTTTCGTTTTATTAGTCTCCACTATAGGAGAAGAGAACCAACTCCCATGTCCCAAATGGCTAAATTGAGAACCAATCCCATGAGGACGACAATGACAGGATTTGTTTGTTTCTGACGCAGCGCTCGGCTGACGTAGCCAAACACTGTTGGCGTTTGGCTGGGGCTCGTGCTTAGTCAGCAAAGCACCGATTGAACCCAGTGAAACACCGATGTCGCATGCCCAATCTGTGCCCCACGCTCGATCGAGGAAGACGACGTAAAAAATTCAGTCCACGGGCCTTTGTTTTCGCTCAACTTTTGTTTTGTCCATGTCCATATTGCGGCGTGCGTGATCAAGTCTGCAATGCATGCGGCTCCAGCGCAGATGAACCGGGTTTGAATCCCGCTGGTTCAGTTCTCGTTTTACCATTTGCCACTATTGGGAGGAGGTAGTACGTTTCTGCCACTTATCGCGTGTTCTTGCTTAAAACTTTCTCGAGTCAAGAGCGTGTATGAGAGCAGCCGTACCACGCTCTATCGAGTCGGTCTCACGCTAGTGCTCGATCCTGCTGATGTGCGGACGTCAATGCCCGCGACGCCCAGTATCGTATTTTTGTTCCAGCTTATTTCGTCACTTACCAATACCTTCGCTACTTTATCTATCTTTACTAAACTAAAAAGATGCTCTGCTCTACGTTTGTTCCTGTTTACATACCTGTATGCTTTGAGGATTCTCTGAAAGAGGGCTTCCCCAATCCGGTTCTCGACATACGGGTTCCCTTGTTCCAGCGTGATGAAGAACTGGTTCTGAAAGTCCAAAACAGAGTTTCAAGCCACCCTTTCATTCCTTAGCGCATGTATGCAGAAATTGGCACACAGTGATTTGTGGCCGAGTGGAGAATGTCGCAATACTTGGAGCAACCCTTATTTATTAGCCGCTTTTATCCGTCAAAGGCAACTGCCATTGGCAAACAGAACCTCGAACATTTTTGTCTTATTCTTTAGCGATATCAAAGTAGTAAAAACAGATTTCCGCTAACTTGAACAGCTAGCTCAACAACACCCTCAACTTTAAGCTTATATAACGGGAACTTAAGTAAGTCCCATTTTTCATTCAAGTGAACTGTCCACTGTGTTTCAATAAATGCAAATTTTGACACAAGTTTCATTGCAGTGCGACAAACATTGCAGGTTGCAATGTTGAATGGTGCAAAGGCCATGCTCCAATCCTCTGGTTTACAGTTCAACATAAAAAAAAAAGCGACAGCACATTGGTTATAGCTGACAAAATCGTCATACGCAGAACAGATTTTTGGGTCGGTAACTCTAGGGGCAATCATTTCTGTATCGAGATTCATACTGTTACTTCCACGAGAACGCCATTAGTTGTCTCTATGGTCACACAATCACTTACGCCAGCTTCGATAGAGGCGAGGTTTGTAAGGGCTCATGAGAACCATGTTGTGCTCTGCAACTTTTAGGCAGACCTGAATGGGCTTCCATCCAGTTAAGCTTAGCGAAGTTTGGGCGCTGTAATACTTTTGAGTCTCGTTTTTTTGCCCCTTACATTTTAACCGAAAAAAGGTTTATTCACACGATGCATTTTTTCAACGCATGACGGTCTAGCGAAACTGAGATTTCGTGCAATCAGCCTGTTCACACGTCGAGTTTGATGCGCAAAATATTTAATGTGCGGACTCGCAAGAATTTTGCCGAACCTTGTCATCATCAGTGGGAATATTGAGTTTAGCATTAAAATTATATGAAGTGCATGCAGTGTGAAGAGACAGTCTGCTTTAATAATATCGCTCGACAAACTTTGTCGGATATATGCTCACTCGGTGCACTAGGCCTGCCGAACCGAGAAAAGACAGCTAACGTCAAAGAACAGGCGGATTATCCCAAAGTATATTAGGAAGTTTGGCACCACTAAGAGAATAGTTATCCCTGGTCACCATGTTTACACACAGTGCTTGCACTCGTTGCGACTGCAGAGGAATCTGCATCATGGCACCAACTCGTATCGCCCACGTACGGCTCGCACAGAAGGTCATGCCCGCGCGCACCGCTCCTCCACCTGTTGCTCGCCATCGTGATTGTTTTCACGTTTTTAGCTTTGGCTCGGATACGGGATTGGCCAAACATCAGGGCTCCTTCAAAAGCTCGCTCCACCTCGAAGGTCGGATGTCACGGCGACGTCGAGCAACCATTGGCAGCATCTGCGTTTCTCCTTCAAGTGATTGACGGACCTCGGTGAGGTTTCGGCAAAATCTCGGTCCAGAAGCAAGGATTGTGCACAACCTTTTTGGGAGGCGCGCCTCTTTTCCAGTCGCATTCAGACGGCAAATATGTTTTGCGATACTAGACTCGCCGAAAAGATCCACCGCATAAATAGACCTTTACCCCGCTAATGTTAAACTGACTGTCTCTTCGATAAATCCCAAGGGCACTCTAAACATCCTCTGGGGCATCTTCATGTCACGTGACAACATGGCATCACATAATGTCGCATTAAGTCAATGTCCCATGGCGTCACAAGTGTCATGTGAAATTCACGTCACATGAGGTCACGAAGTCCCATTACGATCATCACGCTGATGACATCGCGTCGACACCGCGACATCATCGTAGAAGCTGTGTGCCATGCACACAAAAAAATCCGAGAGCCGTCTCTATTAAAATACCATGCATTTAAAACATATTTCACGTTGAAACCAGAGGCGATCACCCGAGCATAAATGAGGAAAGATGACACAGCGCACATACCTCGATGTAAATGAAGTGCTTCGAGTTCATGATGGCGTCGATGTAGGCCGAGTGGATTGAAGTCTCGACCGTTTGAATGCCCGTGGACCAGCTGCTGGCACTCCGCAGAATCTGTTGTGTGCAAGTTACGAGACGCAGTCTGAGTTCCTGGGTACATTGCCGAACCACCAAAAGACTGGTTCACACGCTTGCATCCCACTGCAACCCCTACAATGAGAGAATACACTGGCATGCTGGTGCCGTCTACTACGTGGCCCCACGACGCTTCGGACCTGCATGCATATCTTTATGATTTCTTACGCATTATTCTTTCACTGTGGGTTCGAAATACTTCTCACAATGGTAAGAATGACTATTTTTTTTAGAGGGTGCATACCTTTGATATCTCAAATACTGCAAAACCTTCGGTATAGTCGTACACATTTCCAGGGCTGCCGGATAGAGGGCACCAATGTACCAGAGAGTTATTCAAGAGCCTAGATTTAAGAGAGGGAGTATCTCAAACCGTGGAGGGTCTTTGCAATTTAATGACAAGTGTCTTCTGGGCAGATCCATCGCTAGTGTGCGTGCATTGCTTTGTCGTGGGGATAGGAGGAAACCGGGTGGAGAGGCAGGTGTTTGCAGACAGCCAAAGCTTTCGTCCCCTCCTCGCAGCTTGTACGGCAAATGCGACCCATAGACCACAGGACCTCGATTGAGTGGTTGGAAACACTCTGTAAATTAGTTGCACTAGCATTCTTTCAATATAGGCAGTCGTTAGAGAAGGCAATGCGCTTGAGAGCACTCGATGGCAAATGTGTCGACCGGCCTTAAAGCAGCTCGACCAGTCACAACAGTCTCGGTGCTATTATAATTACGAGGACAGTCGCAGATGGAGGGCGGCTAAATAGTGAAGTAGAGAATGGGCACTTTGTTAACCACCTTTTTATGACATTAGGTCTGTTCGATTTGCCTGAACTGGCTGAACTAGTTCAGCAGCGCAGGAACTGGTGCATTCGATTCAACCAAAGTTGTACGGCCACCGCGTTGGCGCGTTCGATTCCTCCCAGTTCTGAACGAGTTCAGACCCAGTTCCTGAAAATCTTGCACCGGCTCCGGATTTGTTCAGTGTCCGTGCAGAAGCAGACGACAAGAGCAGACGGCGAGAGCAGACGACACTCCTCGTCCGTCTCCGCTCGCAGTGCCATTTTTGTCGCAGCTCTTGCTCAAACGCCTGCGATGTTTAACAATAACGCCGATACGGAGGTTGCATTTCCTCTCATTTATGATAATAATAATGGACCTGCGGTGGACGTGGAATTGAAATCATAACCGAGGGTAGGAATTTGCTTATGATATTCTGAAAGCATTTTAGATACCTGCTCGCATAGGTTTGGCTCCCTGTGGTAAGTGTTAAAATACTGGCTCACGTAAATTGTTTCTTTTTGATGCTACTGTCGAGACCGGTTATAACGAAGTCGATTATAACGAAATAGCGGCTACAGCGAAGCGATCACAATTTCCCATTCCCTTTTGCACTTTGTTAACCAAAGTCGGTTATAACGAAACAGCGGATATATCGAAGTGATTTCCGATGCCCGTTGACTTCGCTATAACCGGTCTTGACAGTATGTGGGAGACCACAGTATTGATATTCTTCCTTACAGACACGAGAAGGTATTGCACTCTTGATAGTCCCCCCATTCAGTTGCTCTTGGATGCATACTGATGACTCCGATACATTGCAGAGGTATGAGATTTAGTACATTGGCCCTCGCATGCCCCGTAGCTGAGCATAATACTGCGCTTTGTCCGCTAGTATCTGTGGACGGCCACTAACGGGCCTGGGAAAAACACAGAGAATCGGCATTGGCTTGGTAGTTCCACACAGGTCTTTCTTCGGAATCAGAATAAACGCTTCAGCTGGATGCCAAGGTTACGGTCGATAACTGTCTTGGCCAAAACGCTATCGTCAGGCCTTAATCTTCGGGGTGACCGCTACCGACCGCGCGCTGCCGCCAGTGACTCCCGACGCAAAATTATCCTGGTGCCGCGAACCTATCGTCGAAATGCGAAACTTGAGAGACTTGGAATGAATCTACTATTGCTAAATGAATGTGAAGGACACGAACGCTTATGGAAACGACAGAAACCGAACGGCAAAATGCTGACAGAAATACATTTCGTGCAGAGAACGTTTTAGTTTACTAGAATAAAAAATATTCACAGGAAAGATTCCGCTATTATACTTTAAAACTAAGGAAACACGAGTCGTCTCATCGAACCGTGACTAATTAAATATAGCATACAACGTGGCGTGGAGAAACAAGAGCAAACAGATGCAGACGACACCCTGCTCGGAAAGCCGATCACAGCGCCAGTCCTAGCACGGCGGCTGCACTGGTTCTGCGCCGCCGCTGCACGACTCCTGCACTCGTCTGAACCTGGACAGAACTGGTTCAGAACTTTCTGGCCGAATCAAACAAACCTATTGTGTCAAAGAAAATATGGAGATTGAAAGATCGGTTGTCTTTTGTTGTCGGTGCGCTGACGACGAAAGACAATGCTGTTCTGGGTTCGTCCCTCGTCCTTCATTTTGAATAGTCTTGGGTTTTGATATGCGCAACTTTAACCGGCTCACTTGAGCAGGAGTCAAAAAAGAAATTATAGTTAAGGGCCGAGGCACACTTCGCATACGCGAATGTTTCCTTCTCTTCTAAATCCTCTTTCTCCTTTCTTCTCCCTTCCCAAAGCTTGACACCGTTCCTTCTGACCATTTATGTTTCCTCTGAACACTAATGCTAGAGCCACAAAACATGCTATCTTTTAGAGTAACATTCATCATTCAGCAAGAATGAATGGATGCATAATAACGGTTGTATTCTTTATATGACGGGCAACAACTTGCTTAACCTAGCCTAAAAAAAAAATCCTAATTCCCTCTTTTTTTTTTTAAATTTCTTTTTAAGCCAATGCATTTTTGTAACTGTTACCAGACCATAAGGTGTTTGCCAAAAAGACCTTTGGGAGACCGGGCAAAAAAACCTAAACACATCACCCCGCCCCCCCTCTCCTTCCTTTCTTCCCCCTTCCCCTTCCCTTCCCCTTTCCCCTTCCTTCCCCCCCCCCCCCCACCCCCCCCCCCCGTGAGGGAATCGCCAATTTTCCTCGGGTCGAACCTGGTTGGGTCATGGGTCATGACTTTGGGCCGGAGCTGCGCGGGAGGGAGTCCCGATATTTCTGTCCCGCCCATCCCCCAGCTGCGCTAGTTAGTTGTACTTCGTTCAATTTCCCCTAGATAACTTCCATTGCGTCTACTTTTCTATAATCCACCCTTCCATCTTCTCCGGTAAAACCCAGGGCCGCAGGTACGTCTGTCACCCCTTCGGGAAGGACAGGACAAAGCTCCTTATAATCATATGTTCAATTTTTTTCGTGCTTAAAATCAGGGTTGCCAGTCATCCAAAGCATTACCTGAAATCGCAGAAAACACCCTTCCGTCCTCCATAAATGTTCAAATGGTCCGCGACGAAGCAATGCGCTGCTGTACCTAATGCTCGAGATTACGAAAATTGCCAATCGTGTTTGCTCTGTACTACGCGACCAAAATGGTTGCCCACGAGAAAATTGAGGAACGAAGTGCCGGAACTCCAGGCGTACCGTATTTAGTGGCTCTAATAGACACTATTTTGAGAAGTCTTAAGGGGATTAGTTGCAAGGTCATTGAACTACCAGAGTCCCCCACCTGGCAGTCGGCCGTGTAGAGCTGTCCCACCGCAGACTCTGGAAGAGCCTCCTCCAGATCCACGCCCTGGTAGGACTTGGGCAGCAGCCACGGGTAGTTGCCGTGCTGCTTCGCCTTCTCAAACTGGCCAGAAATGAAGGAACACATGTGGGTACACAAATCGGACAAAGACTTCGCTACTACACATACCACAAAGGTGCACTGTGCGTGCACGCTAGTGATGCAAAACTGCCGATAAATTGACTATCGATAGTCTTAGAAAAACTGTCGATAGTATCAACACACTATCGATAGTGGAACTATAGACAGTAGTAGCGCTAGTGGAACTATAGATAGTGTTAGCGATAGTAGAAAGAGAAACATTGATAGGGCACTATCGATAGTACAATTAATAGCACTATCAATAGGTAACCTTCAGAAGAACTATCTGTCGTTAAGAAAATGAAATTAGAATACAAAACGGGGACGACGACGGACATGTAGGGGCGTCTTAATTCAGTGTTGACTACGACATATAATAGAAACTACTGACATAGTCACAAATAGTTGTACGATACTTTACTGTCGATAGTCTGCTATCTCTATGGTAGCTTTTAGAAGTCCAATATTGATAGTGCTATCGATAGTTTTGCGACTTTCAATAATGGAGCAAACACTTTTTAACGCACAATGTGTTAAAGGGCTGCATCCAAGCTGTTTCCGGTAACACACTCCCATAATGAAGAAGCGTCGCATGCTGCATCAGCTTTAGGTTGGAATCCACGCCCTGCTGATTGAACGTGAGTACCAGCCAAACGCCGATGGCAGGCGAAATAGGAAACCCATGAACATGGCTTTGTTATCTAGGAGTGGAGTGAGCATGCTCGCACATATGCTGAGGGAGTGTGCAGGAGGAGAGGGAAAAAAAGTAAAAGCGTGCGCTTTGGAGGGAATGATGCAAAATAGCGAGGTCAAAGCTGGGGATGTGCGACTGTGGGAGGCGCTTTTAATTCTTTAAGCAATGTATTGAGTTTAGAGGTTGATGTGACATGGAAGGCAATGTAATGAACTTCCTGCAAAATAACAACATGCGCGGAAGAAAGCGAAAAAAAAATGTGCAGAGGCGGCATGCATTTCAGTGCACCTGGTGCATTTGTTTGCTTTTGTTGCATGCACCTACCTTCGTGCATTCGTTCAGTGCAACGAATGCATCAAACAAACACAGTGGGCAGGCACACCTTGGTGAAGTTCCAGCGCTGGATGAAGTGGCGCGCCACGTCTCTTGCGGCAGCTCCACTCACGGCGGCGCCAATGTCGTGCCAGGGCATCCGCGGCATCACATTGCGGTTCACTATATCTGTTCCGCAGCCACAGAAAAAAAAAATAAAATGGCCACATTGTGCGCTTGACACATGAAACAAAATCACCCATAAGAAGTTTGTATTTATGAGACAGAAAATAAATTTTTGGAACAAAAAATAGTATAAAAAATGCGTAGCAAATTGCTGGGCGATTGTGTTGCACACAAAATGTGTGGTTTCAGTCCGATTCCTCTGGGATCAACGCCCACGCTCTCGGTGCTTTTCTTGGTTAATTTAGTGATTCACTAAATGCGTGGCATGTACACACGAGAGCAATTCCTGGAATGTAGATACCGGCGCTAATCTGGGTTTTAAACACCTGGTGCTCTTCCAGAGCCTGGACCAGCCAATCAGCATGGAGCTAGAGGGTGTGACATCACCTGGCTCAGCCAGTCAGCATCGAGTTAATCGACAGCTTCACTTTTCGGTTCCAGAAATTTTTGGACCCCAACAACAAGAAAAAGCACGTTTCACGTGGATGATATCGCTTTCTAAAACAATGACAATGAGACCGCGATAATTGAGAAGCACTGCAAAGCTTTGCCCCAAGTATAATGAAATCTACTAGAGGTTCTAGATCCAGTAGACAGATCTAAAGGCCTCTAGTGGTTTTAGAGCCTTCAATCTTTTTTTGCCATTACCTGCTAACTCGGCAATGTCAAGACAGATAACAACGAGCCATCGACAAAGTAAGACAAGCAAGCCATATTCCAAAAACACTAAAAGATGACAGAGCGATTGAATACTGTACTTCTGTAGACAGTTGAAAACTGTTTGCCGTTTTCACATTTGCCGAGCCGGTTTCACGTTTGCCGTTTCCACGTTTACCGTGCCGGCGCACGATTCCCAGAGCTGCAATGATCTCTACAGGAGTGTGTGAAAACATGTTTGTGAAGCCGCCGAGGATAACTTTAATTTATTCGCGCTTGTCCCTGTGGACGTTCCCGTTGTTGCTCCTGCCATGGATGCTGCGATCATAGACCTTGCGTGCGGCCAGGGTAAACACGAAGTGACGTTGGAGAGCCACCTCGAGAAATGCCGCTGACTGCGGAGACGCGAAACGTCCTAAGGCTGCTTCGAAATAAAGAGTGCAGTGGCAAGGACATTGTTTGTGCGATGCCTGGAGCAGTTTGAGGAGAACTGATGCCCAAATAAAATTATCGGCAAACTCCACCTAATCATTTTTTAACTCGGTAAAGCTGCCGCGAGATGTTCATAACCAAGGCTTGTTTGATTAAATATACGGTCAGAGTGTTCCACAGTATCCTCGTCTGCCTTCGAGACTGCTGGCGCCGTTTTTCTTTCTTTTTGCTCAATCGCTTTTATTGAAATACTGCTTATATAGAATATATTTGCTGTCCCGTTGACTTCGTTATAACAAGAGATTACTGTATCAGAGTTAAGAGCGAACGACGCAGTCAAGAAGGCCGGCTCGAGCTCACCGATGAAGGGGTCGTTGACCTCTGTGAGGTCCTTGAAGATGAAGTTGGTGTAGTCCTTGCCGAGCCAGTACTTGGCCCCACCCTGGAGGCCGAGCTGGTCCTCGGGCTGAGGCTTCAGCTCCGACACTCCCACCCTTGGAAAATAAGGCACAAAACAGTCTCGTCAACTTCCCTCGCACCTCGCAGTTTTCGGAACGGCACGAAAGACGGAATAAAACATTAATTGACCAAAGGTGCCACTTGCATTCAAAGTACAGTCCCGTTTGAGCTGTAAATACGGTTGTGCAAATAATGGTTTGAATCGACTAAACAGTGTGTCATTCATAGCCTTCACGGCGCAAGGGTAAGGAACAATGCACCAGCACTCTTTGCCCTGTCCAAGCGAGGAATGACACTGAGCTAATCGATTAGAAGGGGTACATTTGAAATGCATATCCGGCATATCACTATACAAGGCCACAGTTCTCCGCAATCCCGGCAGCAGGTACGGCCGCGGAGGTTGATGCAACGAATGCCCATTCTGCCGTAGCTTGCTCTACGGCCGCTCAATCGATGGATACCCTGGCAGCCAGGGGTTGGAACAATACAACAACAGGAATGCCTGCGTCCAATCGTCTTCTTCACCGCTGCTTTTGCAATCAACTGCCGGAATTGCGAACACCCACGGCACCATCAGCTGGCTCCTGTGGCCTACTTCGTTGCCAATTCAGAGCATACCTACTCTGCCCATGTTAAAAGCAGAGCGCAAAGAACATGGACAAACAAGAGGAGGCAAATGCACCATAGTGCTCCAGTGTATTTGTCCTTCTTTAACCCTGTCCTTCAATCCACTTGGTTTGTGGTGAGAGCCGTTATTGGCAAATAACATTGGCGGGTAAATAGTAACGTCACGTGATGCCACGTGAAGCGTTCTACCACCTAGTGTCGCAGCAAAATCTCTCCACTAAACATAAAAAAAGAATATACGAGCCTAATCATGCTGGGAAAGCCTGATAAGCACAGAATGTGTAATAGGGCATCCAAGGAAAAAGAGAAGGGCGTATCGCACACAACCACTCTCTCGAGCGCTGCGTCGAGAACTTCGCTTTTGCGTGATACGACCGCCGGCCCTGTATAGCTCTGTCGGCAAAGCCCTTGGCTCACAATCTCAAAGCGGCGAGTCCAAATCTCGCTGGGGGACTGAAATCTTTTTTTATGGTTCCCTATGGGCTTAACGTCTTTCAGCTTCGATTTTGACTTACAGCCGGCCACTACAGCCGGCTGTTACAGCCAAACATTCCAGAACTCCGTGAAAATCGGCTGAAAAGACACATTCTGCGTTAAAACTGTGACAGCACGCGGCATTACATGGCCACGTGATGCAATGCGAAAATGCATTCTTTGTACCTTTGCCAAATTTCGAATGGTGGCAAAGAACGATTGTGCGTAGTATGTGCGCAGACGAGCACGCAGTGCGTCAGTCGCTGTCTCCGTTAATTTGCGGAACGCAGCGAGGAATTGGCAATTTTTTTATAACGGACTACCAACCGGCACAATCGTTGACACCCGACAGAATCGTTGCGGAAGCGTTCCAGGCACTGTATATCAAAATCGAAGGTAGGAAGCATCAAACAACTCACAGCTCGGTCGGGCCAAGGGAATCCAAGGAGCCTCTGCGCGTATGTCTGTGGAAGGCCTGCATCCCCTTCAAGGCGAGAAGAAGGCCGAGAGGACCGGCTTTCAGAATTTCGAGAGCAAAATATTCTACCGTCACTATTTTGGTTTCTTTGCCCAAAAACCTTGTGATTATGGCAGGCGCATAGCAAGGATATTGTTTCGGGGGGGGGGGGGGGGGGGGGGCACCCATGAAAAAAAATGCTGTATGAGGGGGAGGGGGGAGAGGAGGTCCCAGCAAAATAGAAGATTTCGGGGGAAGCCCGGGCCCCATAGGCCCCCCCTTCCTGGCTATGTGCCTGGATTACGGAATAAGGAGACCTCTGGGAGACACCGTTCAGGTACCAAGAGCTTTCCAGATCTACACTTTCGAAAACCAATTGTTCAAATGTTAGAGTAATGTAAACAAAACGCGGCACTAATCATATTGAAATTACGTCAGTGGTAAGGTTTCCGGCATGGGAGTAAAACGTGCAACAGACGAAGTATACCGTATTTAGTCTCAAAACGAACACACTTTTTTTCCCGGAACTTTTATGCATATTTGGAGGTGTGCATCTGTTATGCAGGGTAAAATTTTGTGCATTTAGACACTGCACAAATGTCATTTCAGGTGCTGATCTGACGTGGTAGGGTACCGCGGCATGTCTTCGCTGACGGCAGCGCATCCACAGCTGGTTGTGGGCGCACCACAGTAACCGTGCTCTATAAATTGCGAACCTTCTAAGAGCGCAGCTCTTAGGCGCACGTTTTCAACTTGTGGCGACGCCGTCGCCATAACTGTGTGTTGCATTGTGGCACGTTTCCCATAATGACGTCACAAAGGTCACTCGTGAAGGTCACGACCTTCACGGTGACCTTCATGAGGGGCAGGAGGAGAGGGTACAGAGGAGGAGAGGAATACCCTCCTCTCTGTTGCCCCCCCCCCCCCCCCCCTTTAAGAGCTGTGCTCTAATTTGGCCTTACAGGAACTTGTGAATGTCTTTCTTTTTTTTAGCGCGCCTTCGGCATTTTTTTTGCGGGAAAAAGGAAAGTGTTTTATGAAGCTCATTGGGCACAGAGAGCAACGCAACCACTTTAGACCTTACCACTTTAACAATTTCACTGTCCAAAAGCGGACCCCAGTCGACGGAGATGTTTGTCGACATCAATGTATTCAATGGACGAAACATCTCCCTAGCTTTGTTAGCTGTGCGCACTGCTTGGTTTCACTGTTGGTCACTTCCGCAACTTCTTACTTGCAGCCGTAACGGCTCGCTCACACTTGCGGATTCGCAGGGGAATTTGCGGAAAAATTGACGCCGGGAGGGAGAATCCCCTTGCTGGCGACGAAATATATGACAATCAATCTGGGACCAATTTTTTCCAAGCAGAAAAAGATTCCATGCCGTCGCAGCCAATTAAAGCGCACAAAGAAAAAGGCGCTTGCTGGCGTCATATCCTGGTCGAGTCGCCCGAGTTGCTGGGGTTGCCGCCGGAGTTGTCAGAGTTCTCAGGTTGTGCAAATGGCACAGGCTTTTGTGTCGGCCAAACACCTGATCGAGACTTAATTATTCGACCCTGTTCGACAAGAGGCATCTGAGCAACGAAGGCAGTGCCCACAAATAAGATCAGTGTGATAAAACTGACACGGGTGGTGCATACACATGGTGTCTTCGTTTCCTCATTATTTTATTATTGCCTTCTCATAGTACCGTGAATGTTGGGCATTTTCCTGGAACTGCGAGTTAGCGTTAACTCTAAGAGAAAGTCTGTGAGAGTGTTTCTTTGAACACCACTCGAGCCAGGGGCAGTGTAGTCCGATATCCGCGAGAGCCGCGTGAACTCGACAGGTGACAACAAATGTGAATGGTGCCATATTTTTCTGTCCAGTAAATTCAGTCGGCGACAAGACAGTTTTTCGCACGTGCGAATGCAACCTTATGAGCGCGTGTGGTGCCATGCCTGGCTGGGCTTGGCCTAGCGTGGCTTGGCCACTCGGCGGCAAAAGTATTTGGCTTGGAGGCTGGCTGAGTTGGGCGTAGTTTGAGACTAGAGGAGCCTAATATTGGAAGTGTGTTCATTACGCACGAGAAAAAAAAAAAAAAACTCAAGATATTGATGACCGTTGTGGGGGATGGTGCATTCATTATATGAGTGTGTTCATTATGAGAGTAAATACGGTAAGGCTTTCAGAACACAAGTTTACGAACCAACGAGTTACAGGGGTGGAGCCAATCGAGTGTATTTGAGGGCACCCCGGAGCTGCACTTGGAGCAGGCCTGGAGCAATTTCAATCGTGCTTTTCAGCATTAAGCAGTGAAACCAGCTAGGGGCTGGGACCCGGAAAAGCCAAGCGAAACATGCTTCCTGTTGCCAATAGACCGATCTCACCAGCCAGTTTGACTACGCCACCGCTGTCGCAAAGCATCGAGGAAACTTTAGTCTTTCTGCGCTTGCGACAACCTTGCTGGAGCTCTGCGCGTGCACGAAAAGTCTCGTGCACTGCCAATTGCCTCCTGTGAACTAAAGTTATGGCTGCCTCGCGCGTGCGTCGAACGCTTGGTGAGATTGGTCTATTGACTACACAGAAGAAAAACATGTTTTCAGGCATGGGTTTTAAGGTTTAGGGGCATAATGACGCGAGTAATGCCTTCGAAGCAGTTTACAGGCCCAGCATTTCCATCTTTTCATTTTCTGTACTGCTGTCACTCTTTGCCTCACTCACTATCACCCTGTTAAAAACAGTGTTAGGTACAAGTGCTGTTGTTTGTTTGTCTTCAATGTCCCTCTTTCCTCATCGTAAATTAGAAACGAACACGCTCAAACATCTACATTACTTCTGTGAGCTTCATGTAACGTGCTGTCCTGCTGGTAAGCCCCTGAACCACTTGGATGAAAGCCTGTGTTGCCTGTTTGTCTTAAATGTCCCTCTTTCCTTATCATAAACATATTATCCAAATATGTACTCGTACTTTACTTAAAGTATCTTTTTCAGGTACTTGCAGAGGAAAGTGCAATTCCCGACTTCAAAGTATATCTCCCGAATTTGATCTTGTTTTGTATCATAAAACGATGGTTTGCTAACAAACAAGTGCCTTACTTGATTCTATTAAATAGTTTGTCAGCTAGTATAAAACAACTACTCTTTGGCCACGTGACTTTATCCAGTATTTGCCGCCATTTCCAAAACAAGTGATGCACCCTCGAATACCCCTAAAACAATGCACACTAACTAAAAAGAAAAACAAAAATCCCGACCCCTGCTTGTTTTGATTTGGACGAGCATTGTACCGGCGTGCGGTCGTGTATCACGTGGTGCACGTTAAAGGCCCCAGGCTAGCAGTTGTACTGCACTGGCTAAATTTCTCATCTACAGCTGAGGGACAAATTGCCTGTTGAGGCAGACTAAGTTCTAGACTGTATAAACATACCCACACCCCAATTTCTTTTTTTTTTTTTTTTATTATTCAAGCAAATTTTGTTTTTATTATTGGAAACAACAAAGCTCTAAACTAGCTTTACTTATGTGGGCACAATGAACAAATCAACATGCAAATCTCTCCAGAAAGCTTTTGGTGTTGTCCCAGGCAGAAACTCCAACCAACACAACACACACAGCTGTACCCCATCTCAAGAGTTTTTGTGCAATTTTGCGGAAGGCAAACACACGAGCACGTGGCTTTAGAAAGGCTCTTGTGCAAACTTAGTATACCCCAGAAGAGCCGTCGCACATCATAAAATCCGACAGCGGTCGACAGCGGTTTAGCCAGACTTCCTGAACTGGAAAGGAGAAAGGTGAAATCTGACAAACAAGGGGGAAAATTGGCGCCCAATTTACTAATGTTTTGCGGCCCCTAGAAACTCCTAAGAGTGGGAATCTGTTAGTAACAAATTGCATGGTTACTTTTGAAATACTCTTGTTCGAATAATGCTGCAATCTGCAAGCACTTCACCCGATTAACCATCATAAGGATACAATTCCGTTCTGTCACACAAAATATGTTTATAATAATTTACTTGTCAGCGCTTACGTAGGTACATTGGAATCTCCTTCTTGCAGTCATAGCAGAAACCCCCGATAACACGAGATTTTGAATCATCATGACTATATATAGTGATGATTTTATGATGGGCACCACCAATTGTGTCATCTTTGGTTGCTGCCACATGCTTTGACGTGTTTTTTCATTATGTATCCCACACTCTCTTCTGCGAGGCTCGCGATGCTAAGGGTATCTAAAAGTCTTGGGAAATCACAGGCTTCGAATGCATGGTGTTTCGCTAAAATAATGCACTAAATCTGCATTTACAAAGAATTAAATTACACATTTTGCAATATGAGGTTTTCTTATCGGTAGAGAAGCAGAAAACACAGGCACAACTTCATCGTAAAGAGTGTTAATAGTATATGCGTGAGAGGGCTGAGATTCATTGGAAAAATCTGGAAACATTTATTGGGCCCCTACCTACGCAGCATGGTCCCGTAACAAAGCCATTCGGAAGAGTAAAAAACATATAAGCAATTACAAAAGACCACAAGGGAATTTAGACGAAAAGAGAAAAGGGGGATGTCAACAAAACTGCTCACTTTTTTAGACTGAAAATTGAACATCAGTTAAGACCATACAAGTCGACTTCCGTTAATACGACCTCGACGGGACATGCGAAATTGGGTTGAATTATTCGAAAGTCAAATTAAAAGATGCGTGCCAAATTTTGAATACTGCAAACGACGTAAATTTCGCAAGGACCTAATTTTCGCGACTTTCGCCAAGCGCCTACGATTTGCGAAAAATAGGTCCCGCGAACAATTCCGGTAAAATGCAAACACATTGGATCAATATTATGAGATCCCACCGCGCTGCAAAAATTAGAACCCGCAAATTATTCCAGAACTTCAGCTTTGACTTCAACCGCAAAACTTCAACGAAATACTAAGCCCGCAAAAAATAAGTCGTTTACAGTATCTAGCGCTTTAGATCAGGTGGTCTAACATTTTTATATTGAGCTGCCGCTGCATTGTGCTTGTCCTTCGCATGTTCAGTGCGGCGGTGCCACCGCTGTACCGCCATGAAGCAGCGCTCGCTGCTCTGCGGTGGTGTTGCAATGGTTGCTTTGTGTTGAGGCCCATTCGGTGCGGCAACGGCGGTGTGTGTTGAGATGCATTCGGTGTGGTGGAGGCAGCAGTGACCGGCGGCGGGCGCTGCTGCCACTGCACCACTGCGAAGTAGCGCTAACTGCACCGCAGCGGTGTTGCAATGATTATTTTGTGTTGAGTCCTGGATGTGTCCCGTGTCTCAATATGTGCTCTCTTTTTTTTCGCCGATGGTTTTTTCGTTGACGGTTTTTTCGCCGACGGGCGTGGCTGATTGCACTCGTAACTTCCACACCGCGTAATTGGAAAAAAAGGGCCAGTTTTTGTGTGTCGCGCGTGGCCAGTCGTGCTTGTAATTTGCCCACTGCCGGTTCTCTCTAGGGAGAATAAACATATATTTTATATTTCAAAATAGAAATATAACGAGTTTCTTTTTTTTTTTTTTTTCTATAGGAGTGTATGGGGCTTTTGCTAGGACTTTTGAACACGGTCGAACTAAACGATAAGTCAAATTAACCGAGGTTGATTTAACGCAAGTCGACTGGCATTTACGAAGATAGGAACAAATGTCGATGGCAAAGCCAAACAACAATGGTTCTCACTTAAACGATTCGGCAAAACGTGACGGGCAGTTCTTCCAAAGCGTAGCTCTGGAGTGACTCTAGGCCAATCCGGAGGCATCTTTCAAAACTGAGCAGAAATGTCTCTGCAACTCTCTTTTCATTGCACCCCTAATCAACGTAAGATAGGCGAGACAAACAGCAAGCGATACAGAAAGGACAAAACCGAATCCCATTGAAGACCAAAGCCAGCAAAAAAAAAAGCAGCGTGCCGACAGCACAAGAAGCGGCACAAAGCGACGTGGCATTTGAAGCGAGTGGCGTCACTCGAAATTCATACCTCAGTGCGCCTCTTTAGCTCCTGACATGCCTGGGATCGCAGTGTCAAGAAGCGTGGATCGAGCAAAGAAAACAAAAAGGCAACGAAAACTTGTTAGTGCCCGCCCAAACAGCCAGGACCCGCAACATGCACCGCCTAGGTCCTCGTTCCCCGATGCCCAACATAAATGGAAGTGTCTACCCCAAGCAAATCTTTTTTTATTTCTTCGACTACTGTAAAATACCGGGCAAGCGCCCACTTAAAATTTAGAGATAATCGCGAAAAAATAGGGGATGGGCGCTTGTCCGGTCATCAACTTTACATATAAATGTACTGCGTGTATTTCCTTAGATCTTACAAATTTGGGTGTGGGCGCTTAATGTGGAATGGGCGAATGCGCGGTATTCTACGGTAGGCGTGTTTCGACTGGTTGTCACCCCGTAACAAGGTGCTGCCTGTGGACATCTGCTAGAAACGTCGCACGCCAAAAACGGCAAGACCGTAATGTGCGCAGTGGACCCGGCTGCTTTTATATAGAGGTGGGAGGAGTCTGTCAGGCAAAGCTAGAGACAATAACAATCACAGAGCCTCAAATGAGTAGGTAGAGATTAGCTCAGAGACAGTCGATCATTGACGAAAGGCATTTCGTGCAACAGTGAAGACTAGCTGTTAAACGTTGAGGCCCACTGACAGTTGCATTTCCGTAGGACCGAGTTTCGACTAGTGCGAAAGTTCGCAGTATTGTGCTACAAATAACAGCATTACTGGTAATGCATTACTTTTTTCGGTAACGCAGTAACATACGTATTACATTCTTGAAGCAGAAATGGAAGCAGTATGTACGTTATCCATAGGGTGACCATATTCCTCAAGGTAGAGAACGGGACATACCAGCGGAAAAAAAGGGGGGGGGGGGGGGGGAGGCGTACTAAAGTTTGAGATTGGGAGAAAAAAAATTTAATGAAATTCTACATGCGTGCTATATCTACATGATTCTACATCCGTGCTATATCCAGTAACTAAAAAAAAATATATTTCTACACACGCGTCTTCACGAGAGAAAGTGTTTCTGGGTAAGAAAAGTTCTAAATTTTACTCTCTGGGTAAATATTTTTAAGGTACCTACGGTTCTTTTTGTAAAATATACTTGTAACGAATAACGCAGTTTCGGTTTGCTTCTACTCGCTTGGTGCCAATTTCGAAACTACGTGCTCCTGCGAAAACGGGACATGTTTCTATACTGGGACAAAAATACGGGACAGCAAAAGTGGACCTTAAAAACGGGACTGTCCCGGCCAAAATGGGACGTCTGGTCACCCTAGTTATCCATTACCCCGGTACCTGATAAGATCTGCCTGTCGTAAGATACTTTAAGAGGTTTTAAGGCTCACGGTCATAAGCAATCGCAGGTGTGCAAACCAGCTTTAACAGTCAAGCTAAATGTAATGTGTCCACAATAGATCCCAGTGCTGTAAAACAAGCCAGAAAAAAATCTGTGCTTGCTCACGAAAAGCCCAAATTTTTTCCAAATGTGCAGGCAGGTGGTGATTTTTACCTGGTGGAATCTCAAGGCATAGCTCTCTTCGCCTAAAAAACGACACCAACAAACATGCCGGGGTTGACGGGAGACTCACTTGCAGACGACTGGGTTGTACACTTGCTGCGCCAGTTGGGAGCATACTTGTTTATGCCTTGAACTTTTGCCGGGAAGATAGGACGACTTCAAGGACGACGCCTAGAGGGTGATGTCTAGGACGACACTTAGGACGACCTCAAGGACGAGTTCTAGGACGATCTCAAAAACAATGTCTAGGACGACCTCAAGGACAACTTTTAAGATGACCACGAGGACGACGCCTAGGACAACCTCGAGGACAACTTCTAGGACAACCTTGAGGACGACGTCTAAAACGACCTCAAGGACGACTTCTAGGATGACCTCCAGGACGACGTCTATAGGATGCCGCCTAGGATTACCTCAATGATGAGTTCTAAAACGACCTCAAGAAAGACGTCTAGGACGACCTCAGGACCACTTCTAAGACAACCTCGAGGACGACACCTAGGACAACCTCGAAGACGACTTCTAGGACAACCTCAAGGACGACGTCTAAAACGACCTCAAGGACGACTTCAAGGATGATGTCTAAAATGACCTCAAGGACGACTTCTAGGACGACCTCGAGGACGACACCTAGAGGACGACCTCAAGAATGACTTCTAGGACAACCTCGAGGCCTACTTCCAGGACGACCTCGAGACTTACGTCTAGGACTACCTCAAGGACGACCTCGAGGACAACGCCTAGGACAACCACGAGGATGACTTCTAGGACGACCTCAAGGACGACGTCTAAAATGACCTCAAGGACGACTTCAAGGATGACGTCTAAAACGACCTCAAGGACGACTTCTAGGAAGACCTCAAGGACGACGCCTAGAGGATGCCGCCTAGCACGACCTCAAGGACAAGTTCTAGGACGACCTTGAGAACGACGTCTAGGACGACCTCAAGGATGACTTCTAAGACGACCTCGAGGACGACGCCTAGAGAATGATGCCTAGGACAACCTCGAGGAAGACTTCTAGGACGACCTCGAGGACGACGTCTAAAACGACCTCAAGGACGACTTCAAGGATGACGTCTAAAATGACCTCAAGAATAACTTTTAGGACAACCTCGAGGCCCACTTTTAGGACTACCTCAAGACTACGTCTAGGACTACCTCGAGGAGAACCTCGAGGATGACACATAGAGACGATAAGGGATCAGGACCTAGCTATCTAATAATGCCAAGGAAGGCTGGCTCACGTTGGCTGCCCCCTTTTTTTTATTTTTATTTATTCACACTTGCCATGACCAGAGGGGAGTTTTCTGTCAACATCCGACGCACATTTTGTCCCAGATCCTGGCGCATAGCAGCATCGCTGTAAAATAATGTGCATGCACAGAGTTTTTTTTTTTTACCTGTTGTACAGTGCTAGGATCCATTGTGGACATGCTATACTAGTAAAGCCTAAGAGCCAGGTCCAAGTCTAAGCATTCCAGTTTGCACTTTGAGGTCTCCTCTTCCTACGAACAGCTTTGACCACTGCACATTACTGCAAAAAAACAAAAATTGCACGTCATATTCTAAAACAGTGGTTCTCAAATGGGGATCTGCGGACCCTTTGAGTTCCTTGAAGGCCTTCCGGGGTCCTCGAAGCCTTAGACCGTCAGTCAAACCGAGCAGTAAAACTTCACTTTTTAGTAATTGATGCTGGCTGACCCACAAAGCTAAATAGACCCAACCATGAGCACTGAATGAGAAGGGTTGATTATACTCTGTTTCAGAGCCTCAAAGTTGTTTTGTATGCATTTAGTTTTCTTCATTGATTTAAACTTTTGTTGTTGTAATCGTCTGTACCCTCCTGGTTAATGGAGTCCCCCATCACTTGAGTTGATCCAGATGGAGCCCCTGAAATATTAGTCCCTGAAATAAATAAAACTACTGTTCACGGCAAAAGGAAGATCATGCAGCTTGGAACATAAAGAATGTGCACCCGAACAGCCACGAAGTTAGTACTGTTAGCTTGTTACCAAATGAGCATGAAACTACTGTCGGGTGGCAGTTCAAATAGCATCTAGCCAAATGACATTCGAGCAGTCGGAGAATCAAGCTATGATCTTGACTTTGGGCGTCGTGCGTGGCAAGCGCCGGTTTGCCGATTGGCAAATGGCATTTGACCAAATAAGGTTTAGCATTCCCGCGCGACTCGGGCGTGAGCCAGCAAGTTTCCCACGCTATACAAAGTTGATGATCCGAAGTACACACCTTCTATACTGCAACAGCCCCCCAAAATTTACACAAGCACGAAAGAAAAAAGAAACCACTGTGTTTAGAGGATAGCATTAATTTTTTCTATTGTTCTTAAATATGTGGCCCTTATGACACAGTGAGAGGTAAGGGGAAGTTCATGGTAAACGTTTGTCCACAGAAAAAATCTTTTAAGAGGAGAGCATTCCTCAAAAGTTCTGCACTTGTGAGTTACCTGTCAGTGCAAATTCCTTTACAATTCCTCTATCTGACAGTTTCTGAACAAGCTCAAAGATTCCAAGCAGTCCAGATCCTTCCAACTCCAAGAGCTTCACAAAGTGATGATGAAACCGTACGGGTAACGAAGGCCCCTAAAAACGCACGCCATAAAACCAGCAGCCTAGCTCCAATTTCGTCCAAGTTACATTTTGTTTTGTATAACAACCAGCTTTCTAGTCTTCTCCCCCAAAGGTTTTCTAACACCTAAAAAATATAGGAAATATTCGAGAAAAAAAAAAAGGAGGGGAAAAGACAAACTGTTAAGGACTTTCATTTAAGCATCTTTATTACCTTCACCAATGTGCTCTACTTCCAAGAAGTAAAATGTTGTCTCCCGGATGGAGCCTCACTGGATTTACTTTCTACGACTGCTTGCAACTTATAGTTACTGACTAGCACGAGTGTGGCCACTGCACGCACACGTACGGCATTACATTTGTGCAACGAAAAGTTTCTCCAGAGAAAACTTGAAACTGGCTAGTTGGTCTTCAGTCTGTTTGGCCCAAAGACCAACGGCCACCAGCTCCCTCGTCTTTGCTAGCAAAGGCTGGTTCACACATTCGTGTTTGAGCGCAACTGGGTGCATTGTGCTTGCTTGTAAACGGTATGTTGCCTGGAACGCGACTCCGACTGGTGTGTTCAGCATCCTACCCCGCCCACTCATCAAAAGCGGTCTCAACGTGGCAACGGAGGACGTTACAAAAGCCGAAGCATCACGCCGTTGGACGTCGCGATGCCGGCGGTCGGTTGTATAAGCTCCGGCAAAAAGCACGAGCGAACGTCCCAACTCCTGACCGCCAAAGCTTCTGTCGGCAGTCGAGAAAGACGGCAACTCGCAGCAGAATGCGCGTCTGCCATGTTGACCGTCGGCGCTACGACACCGCCAGTATCGCAACCAGCGACAGCGCGACACTTCTATCCCGTCATCAGGCGGGAATCGAGGGACCACTCTTTTGGATGCAGTAAGCGCACCGGTCGAAGACGACTTCCAGGCACCGTAGCAACCGGTTACGATGAGACGATACAGTAGTACACTGGCGCCATCTGTCGGGCAGCCCTGGAACACTTTGGATCTGTGTATATATTAGCGCAGAATGTGTTTTGTCGGCAGATTTCTACGGAGTTCTGCGACGGCTGGCTGTAGCGGACGACCGTAACGGTGCCGAATAGTGTCGCGCCTGTAAGGAACCGTGTAAAAAGACTTCCGACCACCTCAAGATTATGAGCCAAGTGCTTTGCCGACCGAACTATCCACGCTCGTTGGTTTGAACCACGCAAAGGGCGAGATCGTTCGTGTGACGCGTGAGTGAGCTTGAGCGCTGCGACACACTGCGTCTCACGCAGTGTGTTGGAAATAAAAGCGAATCTTTGGTAGGGAGTGCTGTTTATTCCCCGGTTTCCTTCTCTGGAACACCTGTCGCATATTCCATGCTTACGGGTCTTTGTTAGCATAATCAAGCTTGTATATTTTTTTGTTTCCGTTTTAATGAATAACTTTTTTGACCTGGACTTGAAATACATCCAAGTGTTCCTTCAACCAATGTCTCATAAATACTGCATAGACTCAACATCTCAAATAATGCAACACTTTCGGTCCAGTAACCCACGGTTACAAGGCGGTCTGCTAGACGACGCCAGTGTGTCGGCGTGTTCTTCGGTAAGTGCATATTGCAGAGTGTTTCCAATTGCTAAATTGGGTAACTTGGTTCATGGGCCATGTTTGCAATACTAGCTGCGAGGCTGTAGCATCATTTGCAAGCATGTCCGCCTTTCCAATCGCTTTTCTCCCCGCCCTGCAATGGCCGACGCATGCGCATTTGCGACCAATCTCCAAGGGAGGCGTCCGCCATTAAACTGCTAACGCTCTCCGTGGTTTGAGTTGCTCTCTCTCCTAAATCTAGGCTCTTGTTATTTTCTTGACATAAGCAGCTACGGGCAAGCATAGCGCACCCTATCAGGCTCCAGCACAACTAAGCGAACCAGCCTCGACACTTAAAAAAAAATTGTCACCCATTAAAGTATGCGGAGAGGCCAACTTACGGCGACGGCCCGGAAGACCCTGCGGGCTCGGTGAATGTTGTTGGTCAACCTCAAGCGTCCGTCGTCTGGCGGGACCACTTTTCCCTCCTCCTGGTCTACGTAGACCGCCGCTTCCGGGGCAGCCGAGGGGTGGTGACGCCTGCCATCTGTCTCGGCACCGCCTGCCGCAACTCCGCCCTCCCCCACTGCGTCAAAAAACCACAAAGAAACTCAGAAGCAGCGGACTACCACCACAAAACAACACTACGATTTGAAATTACATCGTGCATACGTTTAGACAGCATGGAGTTAGTTTGCCCCATCTCTCTGCTGTAGGCGAAAAATGTAGCCAGTGCAGTACGACTGCTAGCCTGGGGTCTTTAATGTGCATCGCATAGCTGTGACACAAGACCGCATGCCAGTACAATGCTCGTCCCGATCGAAGCAAGCAAGGGTGGGCATTGAACCCAAGATCCTCAGAGTTCTGCGACGCGAGCTTCCGCTTCACGAGCTCCAAGCTGTAGTGCGTTCCCGCACTTGGCCACCGATCCCCGCACTATGATTCTATGCAGAAGGCATTTCCAATTTATTGCATTTAAAAGGCGACCGACAAGGCATTTATGTGTGGCTAGATTTTAATGGGGATGTGACCCATAAGGTTTCAACGATAGAGAAAATTATCTAGGACTCAAGATGTAGACTCAAAAAATACCACCATTCGAAAAGTGCCCATTCAAGGCTTTCCTCACACTCTTTCTTTTAACAATGTGCAAGGACAACACAGAACTTCTAATATTTTGAAGGTAATAAGAGGCCAGAAGCACAGCTTCGGTAATAAAGACAGCATAATCAATAAGACACAATTTTTAGGACCACCGAAACGCTGAAAACAATGAAAAACTTAATGCGAAGGAGCCCGGAGTGAAACAAAGCGGTTCACACCAGAGGCCTCTGACGTCGCTGTATAAACCAATTTCGTTCTCTAACAACACGCGACACTCCACGCCGAAAAGTAGTTTGGACGGTGTTTCGATACCCTAATATAATGTGCCAGCCTTGCGTAAAAAAGCAAAAAGAACTTTTTTTGGTTTACGAAGGCGTGCAGCCAAAAAGGTTAGTGCCATGCTCGTGACAGAGCGAGTAGATATGCACAATGCCTACTGCGTCGCTCAAGCTCCCAATAAGAACAGCAAAAATTTAACTTGAAACTGTCTTTTGAAAAGAAAAACTTTAGTTCGTCATGCTTGTTCTCTCGCACCCAGGGAGTGTCACGAGTTAAAGACTGAAAAAGCACCCTGCAGGTGAGCGAAGGAGGAATAATGTAACACCTGAAAAAGCTTGAAAACAGTAGTGACGTCGTGAAGCGTTTTCATGCGATAGCATTATTGAAGGGATTGTCTGGTCAATTTTTGTCTTCAAGAATACAATTAAATCTTGTTTTAATAGTGTTTAGGAACATCCTTCGTGCATTATCTGAATTTTTTATCCTCCTCCACGCGAGAAATTGGATTTTAAACTCTTCCAAAACGCGTCCTCAAAAAAATCTCATTTCTGTTGGCAACATTGGCAACCGCAGAAGCTCTGACATAACATCAGGTAAAGAGTCGCGTTGGGGTGCATCCCAACTGCTGTACTGTAACTTTTTGTTTCTTATTCATTTACCCTTGTTGCTCTGTCAAACTCGATCTTTGTGGATTTAAGGGGACTTTTGTTATGCGGTTGGTTGAAACAACCCTCGGACTGCAGACAAACAATGTCCTGTCTCTGTGTGAAATAGAATTGAGTTGTCCGCGTGCGAATGTGGCCGCGACCTGTCAGGTTCCAGATTGGCTTCGGTTTTGCCGCATAAATATATTTTGAAGATACAACTGTTCCTCTAGCATCAATTTTTCATGATCTTGCAAGACATCTGAATAGTCCAAATGTCTAAAATCACGATAGAGCTCACCTTTAATGCTATTCATATACAAAATGGTTTCGGTTTCGGTTGTCCCGCACAGACATTTTTTGTGTGTGTAACTGCTGCTCCACACTCAATTCCTCATGATCTTGCAAGACATCGCCTTCAAAGTTTTACGTTAACAGTAGAGCATCTTTTTAATGACTCTAATCGATCTGATTGATCTTGTGGACTCCAGCTTTGTCCTCAAAATTTATATGGCGTGCAAGTACGACTTCTAGTAAGCATGCGGTGAAAGAAACATTTTTTGCGCATCCCGTGAATTTATTTACCAGCCAATGCGCTTGAAGGATCATGGCCCCTGACTGGCTGACATGGTTTTCTGCAATTTATATTGTCCATTGATTGGTGTGCCTTTTCTTTATATTTCTTACTTTTTCGAAAGTATGCTGATGTTCTTATAATAACCCGGTGTTTTAGAGTTATCCCACATTTCAGACATCTTGGGAACCATCCAGTAGGGAGCCCCATATATGTCAAGTTTCAACACTTTCGTTTTTGATACAACTCATCAGGGCTGGAACATTTGAGCTCAAACACTTAATGATCACCATCCTGTCTAACTTTATAACTAAAAATTTAAGTCCTCCAACAACATAAATATGTGCGGACAAAGTTTACTTCAGAACTAGCTCGTGGAACGATTAAGCAACCAACAAGTTCCAAAGAAAACTATCCATGTTTTAAAGGACAGTAAGGAAAGGACAGTAAAGCGCCGTTCACATTCTTGCGACTGAGTAAGACCGAGAGAGACCAGACCAATTTTAAGCCTTTTGCTACTTCTTACGACCGGACGCGGCAGCGGAGCTGGTCCTAAGAGATTGCAAGAGGCTTAAAAACTGGTCTGGTCTCTCACGGTCATACTCGGTTGCAAGAGTGTGAACGATACTTAAGGGTCGCATTTGGTTGAAACAGCAGTTTGTAATGCGAAAGCACTAATTGCCTCATAGAGCGAGCCGACGCCATCAGTTTGAAGCGCGAAAAAGGCACCTTAAATCTTTTCTCCAAGTATAGCCAGCTCCCAGCTATGAAACAACGCGAAAAGCCTAGATCAGGCAGCTAGTTTCTCAGATCCCAAAAGAGCGAAGTAAAGCTGACGACTTTTCGGCTTCGGTTCCATTGGCTGGCGCGTCAACGAAGCTCCCATTGGCCGCTGCGCATCAGTTTGAACGATCGCTCACCTGATGGCGCTGCGTGTCCGCGAGGCAGCGGCTCCACCACTTCACGTCCAAAGTCAGCGCATTGTACGCCGCAGACGAAAGAAGAGAGCGAAGAGTGGCTTGCGTGCTTCCGCATTTACAACTAAAAAAAAAGTGCTTAGGTGTACCTCGTGCCTTTTCTCTTCCCGAACATGTTTGCGACCTTTGGGCTCTCGTTGAACAAAAGGCGAGGGAAAAGACAAAGAAAAGAAAGGCACCCCCAAAGCTCAATCTTGCCGAGCATTGGCTGGCGCGTCAACGAAGCTCCCATTGGCCGCTGCGCATCAGTTTGAACGATCGCTCACCTGATGGCGCTGCGTGTCCGCGAGGCAGCGGCTCCACCACTTCACGTCCAAAGTCAGCGCATTGTACGCCGCAGACGAAAGAAGAGAGCGAAGAGTGGCTTGCGTGCTTCCGCATTTACAACTAAAAAAAAAGTGCTTAGGTGTACCTCGTGCCTTTTCTCTTCCCGAACATGTTTGCGACCTTTGGGCTCTCGTTGAACAAAAGGCGAGGGAAAAGACAAAGAAAAGAAAGGCACCCCCAAAGCTCAATCTTGCCGAGCATAATCCCATTCTAAAAGGAGGGGGACCGGAAACTTCGATGGGATAACTGATATCTCGTAGGCCAATTGAAGATTCTCGGCAGCTCCCCGCAGGCTTGGGGGATTAACGAACATCCGTCAAGCGACATTCACCGATCTATTGCGACCTCGAAACTCGGCAACGTCTAATCCTCCTCCTCAAAGAAAAGCTCTGCCGTGCAAATGCGCCGTGACCGGCGGGCGTGAAACCGAGATTCGAGAAATTACCGGAGTTTGGAGACATCTGGACGGCCGCGGAGTCGCCATCCCCGGGAGCCTCGCTGTCAGAGACGCTGGTCGACCGTCGCGCCAGGTTGTGCGCCGCCAGCAACATCTTGGCCACCTGTGGCCGTTTGGGGAAACGAGCTGGGGGTCAGAAAAGCCGGCACGGGGCACAGCCGCGGCGACCGAAACGAGTCTTCGACCGGCACGTTTAGCGTCCCGTCCCGTTCACACGTCGAAAGGTGTCCCGAAGTGGCAACAAATAATGCCTCAAAAGCCAGAGTGCCGCAGTGTCGGACGTCACGATCCTGGCGGTTGGAAGTACAAGTTCCGGAAGAAAATCATGAGGGAATGCTGTTATCGCTGTTGTCGCGGGCGTCCAACTCCTGGCCGCCGAAGCTTCTTTGGACTGTCGAACTGGAGAGGACCTGCAGCAGAATGGGTACCTGCAACGTCCACCCCTGCTGCCGTGTGACACCGCCAGGGTCCCAAACGCCGACAGTGTGACACTTGTACCGTGTACAAATCGAGGGACCAGATTTTAGGGCGCATTAAACGCACCGGTCGGCGACGTGTTTCGGGCACCATGGGCATGGCCCCTCGAGGCACGACCGAGCGATGGGCTGCAGAGAGACGCGTGCCGTAGCAATACAACGATCGCAGTCGCCGTACTGTTTACTTCTGCGACTAAGCGCCTGTGACCACTTGAACTACCTTAGCAACATGTTTTAAACCCTCTTTAAAATGCTGATACGAAACGTTGGCACAACTGGGGGCGTTTTTCTAGAAATGCAAGCTCATTTGCACGCACCTATTGAGACACTGCTAAAAGAAATGCACCTACACTGAGTGACGCTGCTGGCGTGAATGTAACATCGGTACTTTTTTGCTTCCTACTCGACCGAGGTATCGAAGAATGCTGAAGTTAACTATCTAAGTTGGTGCCCTGGACGAGTGCTTTTTTGCACATTAGAGTCGCGATGACGGCATTTTGACAGTGAGAAAAACGTGCAATACCGGCGATCACTCGTCCGTGCTGACTGTGCTGTGCTCTGTAGGCGTCTAGGTATGCGACTGTGTGCCCTTCCTTTAGGGATCATTGGATGAAAAAAATCTGGTGCACCAAGGATATTATAGGTCCTTCGAAAGCTGACCTCGCTCATAGAAGTTGTGACCCCTCGAAGCTCCGTCTTGGACACCTGCCTCTGCATCTTGATCCCGCCGACGTCCGTTAACCTGCGGCAAAAAGCAAACCGGACATACTTCAGTATCCGCACAGCGTAAAGGCACCAAGCAAATCTGCGACAAGTACTAGTTTAATTGCGTTGCCGGTTTCTCGACTCCGTGGGGAGCGATTCCCAATTTTGGTTTAGTCGGCTGGTAGACGCAAAGTTTTGCAAAGTTTCTGGATGTACGATTACATAGGTGGGTAATTAAAATGCACAACCTCATTTTGCTATTATTTCCTAAACCTACTCAATGCATGAGCGTTCCTTGCCCCAGTGCATGCAGCCGTCTTTGGGTTAGACTAGACTGGACTGGTTTCGCGAGGCCGCGGCGTGTTCCTGCCGTGCCCTTCCGCTCTGCTCGGTAGCTCGCTGCATCCACTTTCCCTCTTACGTAAGAGACAGAGATTCCTCTCGCACATTTCCAATGATACGCCAGTGTAGCCGTGCACTGTTCTTGCAATGGCAGCGGGGCGCTGGCACATACTTTCGTTTCCTTGGCATGAATCAACATACGCGACGACGCCGTTTGCACGAAACCACAGATACTCGGGAGGAAAGATTGGCTTTTCGAAGACAACAGTATCTGGACCGTAGGCGGCGAACGAGGAAAGCTGTGGTGGCTGCATCCCACATCACTGATGCCCGGGAGAACAGATTGGCCCTCAAAAGACAACAGTATGCGGACCGCTTCGAGAATGCCCATCCATTGCCAAGTTGGAACCCCGTGCTAAATGGTAACAGGTTTCATCAAGAATCGGCGTAGCAACAACAACAATTTCGCCGTCTTTTTTTCTTTTTCTTTGCAAAACTATGAAAGTCTTACTTTGGACCAACAAAGAAGTTTTTGTTAAGAAGAACTTTGCAACGGTGGGGACACCAATTGATGGGCCACGTGCGATAGCGGTACAGGTTTAAAAGTGCAGGTCCTAAAAAGGGTCCCTTGTTTGTTTCTCCTGCGCTGGTCAAGATTAATATTTCTATTCAGCTTGACAAGAATGAAAATTTGAAATATTACACCAGCAAAAAGGAAAGGAGTGCAATTACAATCTACATTTCCGAGAAGAGAAATAGTAAAAAAAACTTTCAGCCTTTCCACTCTGGTGAAGAAGGAGGCGCAGCGCAGCTGTAGCTTCTGTTCTTGGCGGTGGCTTTCCAGGCGAGTGATCTGCTCTTCTTTCGCAAGGGAATCTGGAGCGCTCGACGCACACAACGGTTGCGGACCCATTTGCGCTGCTGCGTACGTCGCCACTCCTTCCGCACTTGGTCTTCTTTCCCCGAAGAAAGGGCACACGGTCGACCCGTCGTGAGTCCAAACCGAAACTGATAAGAGTGTAGAAAACAGCACGCAAAACAGTTGAGGACAAAGGAGAAACACACGTGACGTGCGCTGCGCTCGTCACGTGTGTTTCTTGTTTATACTAGTCTGTTTTCCGCGCTGGTTCCTACGATAAATTCGCACCAACTCGCCAAACTATCCATTCTTCTATGATAGCTGGAAAGGTCGCTGCCATCTATAAGCGACGGCGGGAGCCGTCACTTATAGACCGACACGCGGAGCGGCTCTGTTTACCAACACGACCGGAAGGCCGCGCATGCGCGGTAGCTATGTGGGCAAAAGCAGCCCGGCTGTCCGTGTTTTCGCCATTGCGCTCTGTGGCGTGCGCTCGTTGTTGACGTTGTAGGGACGCTTATATCTTTATTTGTGCGTCGTATTTCCTCATAACGTATGTCGTATGCTATGCCCGACTATTTGAGCTCGTTGCCCGAGCCTGAACGGTAGCGGTGTCGAAACAAACTGTGCGTGGACGGCGTTGCCTACGAGGATCCGTACGCCGTAAACAAGGCCTGCTGGACTTCCGACATAAAGTTGCTGCCACGGAAGTCAACGGCTCAGGTCGTCGTTTATTTAGTTTTTTCGCCAAGCCAGTTCACGGCCGACACGGTGCAGGCGTACAAGTCTCTCGAGGTCTACGATTACATCGAGTCGGTTTCCGCACTACCGGCGGGATCAGCAGACTGTGGGTCTGCGGAAGTGTGTGTATTCATTAATTGACTAAATACACAGAGCGTCTTCAAGTCAAGGTATGATATTTTTCATACCCTCATGACCAGAAGGCATTGCAACCAGTAAAGGTTTGTCCGTTCTGCAGTCTTGGCGGTAACAGGTTACAAGTAACGGCGTTACCAGGAACGCGTTTCTTTTTTCAGTAACGTAGTAATTTAATCGTTACGTTTTTGGCACAATAACGGGTAACGTACTTATGTTACTATTTCAAGTAACGTAGTTACGTTCGTCGTTACTACTTCCCAAGTCTTATTAAAGAAATTACACTTCAATTGTTTCCGTGTTTTAGGCGTCAAGCCATGTTTTTCTTTGCGTTTTTTCTCGTAAGTATTTAGGTGAAACCGTGAAAAGAGCTAAAGTAATTATGTTCAGTTTCTGCATGAACATAATGTTTCTTGATATATGACCTGTATCGTCAAAACCGTAAAATATGTTACATCATAATTTAAAAAAGTAACGCAGAAGTAACGTGCCTTACTTTTTATCGCTAGCGGCAACGCGTCCTTTTATTTTTAGATAACGTAGCTCAGTAACGCGTGCCTTTTATTTGCAAGTAACGAGTAACATATTTCGTTACTTTTTTTTTTGGTAACGCCTACAACACTGCCGTTCTGTCGTCGATCCCCTTCTGCTTGGTAGCACGGGCGTAGCGAGCCTCCGACGAGCGCTTGGGGGGTGCCCGGGTGCGTTGTGTGCGAACACCATGGAAACAAAATCCGGGTGGTCTCGATCAGACAACGGTTTCCCTGCACATAGGCAAGCCTCGGGACGGAGATTGAAATGGAAGCCGCACTTGCCTCCAAGAAAGTGTTTGCCGCACAAACGGTCGTTCGCGCGAGGCGACCATTCTTTTCGATCCACGGATATTATCCACCTTCTATGCGTTTCAGAGTCTGCCGGGAACTTGTGGAAACTCACTCCGCTGCTTTTCTTGCACATTTCGGTGCAATTAACGGCAACACAGCTTCAGGGCATGCTGAAATGCTATGACGCCCATGCGAAACGTGCGCGCTTTTGCCCACACCCCCCGGCTCCGGCGCGATCGCAGCGCCGCCGCAGCTCCGTGACGTCAAGCCCGCGTGTCGGTGTATAGATGGCGGTAGCTGTCCAGAGGTTTGTGTAGCTTTGTGTAGACATTTCTTAGGTACCGAACACGATCCTGGGGAACCTAGACCTTAACAGCTCCGCTGTAAAACGGTACAAGTCAGCTTGTGCCCTTATGGCATGTAGCCCCCGACAAAGACAAAATGGCGCAAGAAAAACGACGACGGGAGCAGTACACAGTACCGGCATCCTTTGAAAAGCGAAATTTTCATGAGAAAACTGATGAACGCTGAAGTTACCAACCATCTAAGCTGGTGCCCCAGATGGGCCACAACCACTAGAAATTAACCATCCAAGTTAGTGCCATGGATGAGCCACCAGCCACCACAAATACCACACACACAAAAAAGCAACCTTTCTAACGTCTTTATTTCTTCGTATCCCGTTTTCTTTTCCTCACTCCCGAACCAACTCGCCCTCAATGCCACTTCAATTCACTGCCACTGTTCCATAAAAACAGGTGCCACAGCAAGCTTTGGCACCATCGTTTTTATGCCGCCCTTCCGTTGCATTCTTCTTTCTTTCTGTTTGTACCGCCAATGATTCGTCGCGCTCCACTTCCACCCACCTCCCCCTACCTTCGACCACCTCCGCATCCCCATGACGACCCCGCTCGCTACCAACCTGTGGTTGAAGTCGTCCCAGCGCCCGTAGCAGAGGTCCAGCCCGCCCAGAAAGGCAAACTTCTGGTCGACGACCACCAGCTTCTCGTGGTGCGCCCACAGCAGGATGCCGCCCGTCACGTGGTCGGGGTGGCGCAGCACCTGGTGCCAACACACGGTGTGCTCGGTATTACGTTTATTCATTTATTTGAGAACGCCACCACCTCTACTCTTTGCACACTCGCGACCGCTTATGGCAGGGTGCGTTCCCAGGTGTGGTGCAGTTCTTGGGTCAATACCTGGATCTTTTCCGATAATTTAGGGCCTTGAAAAACCCAAAGAAGCCAAAATTTAGCCAAACTTAGCCTTCTTTGGCCAGAGTCTGGGTACCTTGGCCCTAACTCACCAAACAAGCACCAAAGTTGGGCTTCACTAATCGTGGTCCTCCTCTGGCATCTTTGGGCCGAAATCGCCGAACAAGTGCCAGAACTAGGCTTCGCTGCCGGTTCTTTAGTTTGTACCATAGAGATCATACATACTAACTCTAGAGGAAAAGGTCCGCCATTTTCCCATGCATTCTAGCTGCCGCAAGCGGCGGAGTATGCAGGCAGACCCTCAGGGTCCCACATGGTTATCAACTGCCTTCGATTTCACAAATATATCATCAGAGCAGTGTCATGAACTTCAACAATCCACAAACTTACCGGTGGAAAGATATTCGCGTTCCTTTCGAAGCTTTCTTTTTGCATAACACGCGGATGTACGGCCTCCCGTCAACACTAAACTAAACCAGACAACCGGCATCGGTTATTTGGTTTAGTTTCGTATTTCCGGGCTCGGGTGGCCGCATCCGGAAATACGAAACCGGGCAACTACCAGATTTTCGAGATTTCGACAGAAAGGAAGTTAATGCAGCGTAATGAGTATGCTGCTTTTTATAAATCTTAGAATAATTCAGAATTTAGTTTGCAACGTTAAATTATCACTGTTTATATTGCTGAGAGTTTTCAGTCTTCGCGATTACCATTGCGACTGTCATCCTTCAGCTGGCAACATTGGTTTCTTTCTCTCGTGTTCTGTCGCACTCTTTCGCATCTTTCACTCGGGACCCAGGATGTCGGCGCGCGGGATCTGCCACTCCTCCTCACCCACCTTTACCCCCCTGGTTTGTACGTAGAAACTCTGGCTCGAGTCTGGCACTCGGGCGATTAAGTGGTGAGCCAGAGAGAAGCCATAGAAACGCCAACGAAAAGTACTTTGGCGCTAACTAACGCCTTGGAGCAAAACCGTATTAGGCTGAAGTTAGGACCCTAGGATTGCCCAGCTTGTGCCAAGGTGGACGTTTCTCCGGCGTGCCACCTGGGTTACGACCCCTTGCAATCTCTTATGACGAGAGAATACGCCAAGCGCCGCCTATTGGGTAGCCGCTGAAACACTTGCAATTTCCATATATATTTCCTTTTTTTTTTTTTGCGCATCATTTTTTTGCTATTGGCTTTAATTATAGACAACCATTTTTCGTAAATAGCCAATACATTTGACCTTGCAAATACTGCCAAGACCTTTGATCTAGTGTTGCGAGACATCACAAGACAAGAGGTCGTAATGCCCTCGGCCATAAGCGGTAGCCAGTGTGCAAGCCAGCCTTCAAAATACTGTTGTAGGGGCGACTACAAAAAAATAAAAAGCGAAATGAAGTGTTACGACACATAATCTAGCTAAGAAGTGACTCCATAGCCTCTACAAAATTATAAAAAAAGACGGAAGATTGTTAATATCATCCGTTAAATTATTCCAGGCTTGAATTGCCCGAGGAAAGAAAGAACATCTAAAAGTTTTTTTGTTCTTTAATTGGTATAGTTTTAATATTTGGCAATGATTTAACCACGAGGAGCCAGAGGACGGAGGTTTTAGTTTAAAACTATCAATGTGGAGAGTGCCACCGATGATATTGTAGAGAGTTTTGAATCAGTAAATTTTGGATCTTGTTTGTAATGTCCAAAACTGAACTCCCCTGAAAAAAAAAAAAAAGTTCAGTGTTTTTGTTTCAGTTATTGTATTATGCTTTTCAAAATACATCGCACATTGTGATACCCTTGCTTTACAGGTTATTCCTATTACAGTTTATGATGTGGTCCTTTGTGCATGTGCCATTTATATATCTCCAAACCACCGTAACATTCCACATTAAGCGCCCCTTCCCAAATTGGTAAGATGTGAGAAAATATGTACAGTACACTGACATGTACAATTGATGACCAGACAAGCGCCCATCCTCCATTTTTTTGCGATTATCTCCAAATTTTGAGTGGGTGCTTGACCGGTATTTTACGGCAAATGACAAAGAACATGAACCCAAAAAAAAGAATGTGTGCAGAAAACATAAATATAGTTGGAACGTCAGGTTGGGTAGCATATATTTTGAAATGCTCTACAAGTTCAACCAGCTTCATTCATATTTTCTGAAGTCTGCAGATTCTCCACTAGGTCCAATAGGGAAAAGTGCGATACAGTTAAACCTCGATGTAACGAAGTCGGTAAAATTCGCAATTTACTTCGTTACATTGAAATTTCGCTAAATCAAAATTTGGCTTTAGCATGCAAAAAAAAAAAAAAAATTCCGAAACATTTTACGGGTATGAAAACTCGCCGAAAATGACATTTATTTAGGGGCAAAGTAGTTTGCGAGTTTTGCTTGCGCCTTGTCCGACAGTAGCAGCGGCGTCATACGACGTTCGAGCACCCAGAGCGCTTGCACGGCATCTTGCTTCCCATGCGACGCCGTGTACCTCCTCAGTACGTCCATTGCGTCGAGCACTTCCCGAGTGCTCGTGATCTCGGCAGTTTCTTCAGGATGGCGTCCAAAACGTTTGCTTTCTCATCCAAAGAAAGAACTTTACGTTTCCCTATGGCAGCAAGCACGTGAGTGAACCGCTTGGTTGAAAAATAAAGCTGTTTAGTTTAGGCGGTGCCAATGTTTCCAACCTAAACAGCACCACACAGCACTCTTGACCGCACAGTTTACTTGCACCCTTGCGCCCACAGTGTGCTTGCGCCTTTGCTTTACATCACGCTCGCAAGACGATAATCGGTCTACTCCTAGGTGGCACTGCCCGTGCGGTCGCGCGGTCGCGCCATCACGTCGCTCCCCCGCAGAAGTTAGCTCCCGCGCTACCCGCGGTACAGTGGACTATGATGATCAGTGAATGTCAGTGGTGATGCTGCTATGCCGTGTTAACTTTTTGCTCGCCATTTTCTGGCCAGCCCCGCGGAATCCGCTTTGCCCCACGCCTCGCCGGCGCTACCGGCGCCGCATCCTCGGGCAGCCAAGGAACGTTGGAAGGCCTGTCCCCGTGAAGTAACCCATCAAGCGCTCGCGTTTGCGCATAATTTTTTTTTAACCACAATTTTTTTGCGAAGTTGTTTTTTAGAGGACTTATTTATTGCCTTCTATGGCAATGGCGCTTCGTTATATTGAAATAGCAGCAAAATAGACTTCGTTATATAGAGACTAAAAATACATGGAGTCTATGGGCAAGAAATTATGAAAAATAAAATACTTCGTTAAATCGAGGATTTCGTTACATTGAAGTTCGTTATATCGAGGTTCGACTGTATACCGAAATATTCCGAGTCATCACTCACCCGCCTGCCACCTGAAATTCATTAAAAAAAAAAACTGGGGTGGGCCATGTCTCGGTGGGTAAGCACAAAAGTTTAGAAAAAGTTAATGAAATGTCCATTTTTCAGTCTGCATCTTGCACGGCTGCACAAGAGATGCATTAAACTAAAAACTCAAATTAGTTTCACTGTTTTATGCAAGAAATGCTCATCAAAGAATGTTTTACTATCACAAAGTCCGATGCTTGTATACGCGTGATTAACACTGCCGATTGGCATATAGCGCGGATGTTTGTTCCATGAAAGCCCTTCACTAACACTACTATGTTCTCTTCATTCATAAAAAAAAACAAATAAAAAAAAACACAACTAGGCACAACGAGCGAGCAAGCGGACGAAAGACGCAACGAAGAGCGATGCTGGGGAAGCGGGTAAGCCGGCAACTGCTTTGGCAAATACTGTGGCGTCGGGCCAAGTCAGGCACCTTCTGAATTGCAAGGAGCAGGCTCTTGCACAAGTTTCTACAGGGTGAAACAAGGGGATGCCAGGCTCTTTAAATCCACAAGAAAATTCGGTTTCTTAACCTATCGCGCTACGACTTTGTGCAGCGTTGCCCACAGATGGTGCATATTTTTTGTAAAATTTGCAAAGAGCAAACTTACCTGAGGAAAAAGTAAAGAAAGAAAAAGGCTTAGCTCCTATGGAAAGGCAGCGACGCCACCGGTCTTCAAACAACACGGCACCGTTTCACAAGGGACACAAGAGATGGCGCAACAAACGCCGCCAACGAACGAGCATACGGCACGGAGAGCCAGCGTCTTTAGCAGACAATCTTACGACTGTCGCCGTCTTTAGTAGACGGCGACAGTCGCAGAAACAAAAACAGGTGCGGTAACAAAGGAACTGCAGTTCCTTGTCTGCTAAATACGCCGGCTCTCGGCGTCGTCTGCTCGTTTGTTGGCGGCAGTTGGCGTCGTGACCGCTTGCACCACCTCTTTTCTCCCGTGCGAAACGGTGCTGTGTTGTTTGCCGACCGGTGGCGTCGCTGCATTTCCATAGGAGCTAAGCCTTTTTCTTTCTTTACTTTTTCCTCAGGTAAGTTTGCTCTTTGCAAATTTTACAAAAAAAATGCACCATCTGTGGGCAACGCTGCACAAAGTCGTAGCGCGATAGGTTAAGAAACCGAATTTTCCGATCGATTTAAAGAGCCCGGCGTCTCCTTGTTTCACCCTGTAGTTTTGTGCGTACATGCGTGTGAGCATGCTATCGACGTGGGTTGAGGCGGTGTTGCTGCGTGGCGTGGACAGCACCACGAACGCGAAGCTTGAAATGGGGCGCTCTACAAACGTCTGCGTGTGGTGTTCCAGCACTTCTTTATTTACCCGTTGCCTTTGTCTCAAACATCGCACAACCTTACCAATCGCGGTCGCGACGTTCCGGGAGAAGGAGCGGGTTCACGGTGACCTCTCTTCAGTGGAGACGAACTTGGACTTTACACTCCGAGGTTACATTTAAGGATATGGGCGGTTCACTGACCTAGCAATCCCGGAATGGGTTACTGCTTGCATTATCCTCCGGACTTTGTTTTTTTGGTCCAAACAAACTGTTTTTGTAAGCAAAACAAAGTTTCATTTGGTTATCTCTATCGTTTCCCTTTCACACGCATGTACTAGGACTTCGGGGTCACGGAAATCGGGGGGAAGTAAGTAAACAAAGAGAAGTGTCTTTTACTCTTTCGTCTCACTTTGTCCTGGACGTCCTCCAACTGTAAGGTCCACGGCCGCGTCATTCAGGTAGGACGAACGTTCGCGGATCGCGGAGTCTGCGGTGGGGCATTTGTAAGGGTGGGCAATCACTCTGCGTTTCTTTTGGAAATCGATATTCACCTAGAAAGTGGGGTGGGCGATGACTCGGGGTACTACGGTATAACAAGGTAACTGAGAAATCACATTAATACCTCGAGTGTTTCACCAAACAGGCATTTACAACATATGTTCAAAATTAACCAAGAAACCTTCTAAAACTAAAAAGAAATTTGGTCGTCTTTCTACAATTCTAAACTGTTTTGCAGTTTTCAAAAACGAGAATGGCTGCCCTCAGTAGTTCTGAAATCTCAAGACAAACACGCAAGAGAATTCACTAATAAACCTAATTGCAAGCGGTAATCAGATCTGGAAACAAGAAAATTGCAGCAGTACCTGATAAAGACAGCAACATAAAATATGTTTTTTGGGTCAGGAAATTTCGGTGACATCATTTATGTATCGAGACTTTCACTGCGACTTCTGATGGGAATGCCGTTGCTTGTTGCTATGGTCACATGATCGCAGTGAGGTGCCACCCACCAGGAAGCTCTGTTGCAGCATGTTCTCTCGATTATAACGCTTTCACGTCTCACTTGTGCATTTGCTTTGTGTCCTACATCTTCCCCAACTTACTCTCAACAAAAACGTAATTTATTTTGAAAAAAAGAGCATGCTCCAGTGTGCCACCTTGATGTTTGGGTGCTGGGCCACCAGCCTCTGCTTGCTGTACAGGCTGTTGAGGCTCAAGGCCATCTCCACTTCCTTGTACAGGAGCACAAAGATCTTCACTCCTTCTTCCTGTAAGTAGAAAAAGAAAATAATAAATTTCCCACATCTGTTCTGTGGCAGGCCACACTCTCAGCAATTATTCCATTTACCGCAGTACTCCAGAACAGTTTTGCTCGGCACCAGACAGGTTTTGTTGGGCAATAATTCAGTTGACAGCAGTTCTGTTTGCCAGGAGTTCTATTTGCTAGGAGCTCTGCTCAGTACTAGTTCTGTTCAGCAGCCATCCTGCTCGGCAATAGTTCTGTTCAACAGGAGTTCTGTCTTATGGTAGCTGTTTTCTAAATCTTTTAAAAACAGTTTTGTTACACAAAGCAAGAATATAGAAGTGAACAAATTATACTACAGTTGAACCTCGATCTAACAAACCCCAATCTAACGAAATTCGTGATTCAATTAAATTTTTTTGTCTACCGATCTTGCTTCCATTGATGACAATGTATTTCATCTCTCGATTCAGTAAAGTGCTTTAGCGCCACAGTTTCAATTTACCGAAGTTTTGGAAATTGCACATTACACATATCGGTGGCCTCCACGAGAAAAATAATGATTTAACAGAAACAAACCTTATTGTTGAAAACTAAGCAAAAAATGTGTAATCATCTTTTTCACAAAAAAAACAACAACAAACACCGGTGGTGGTGATGCTGAGGATGATGATGCCTCGTAGCCTTGTAGCCTCTGCCTCTCGTCAAAGAAAAGTTTGCCATTACATGCCCCTACGCCCAACAAACTACAGCTTTTGCGACCCTGCAACAAAAAAAAAATCATTTCGTGCCTCGAGTGTCGTGCTGGAAGTGGCTGTGTTGTTCATGAAACAATGAGTGGTGCACCGCGCAAAAGGAAAGTTCTGTCGCTCGACATCAAGGCGAAAACAAGCACAGAAGTGACGAATAAAAAAAAATGTTGCCGAGAAGTGTAAAATTTTGCAGAGTTTGCTTTCCACGATTTTGAAGATGAAAGACAGCATTATGGCTACCGTAAGTGCCAGTGGTTCGAATACCGGAAAAAGAACTTGAAGACTGTTGCATACGTCAACGTCGAAAAGGCCCTGCTTACCTAATTCACCGACATGGGGGTTAAGAACGTGCCCTAGAGCGGAGAGCTGCTTCAACAGAAGGCCCGGGACTTTGCTTGCCTATCTGGATGTGACGACTTCAAAGCCAGCAGTTGGTTTTCACACGTGGCACCATCTGTCGGCAGTCACGAGTGGTCTGCTCCGCGGTGGTATATTGGTTTGGTTTTGCTTTCCCGAATACACACTCTCTGCGGTGCTAGGCACTGCTGCCATAACCGTACGAAATGAGGGTCAATGAACCGCATTCTTCTATTATCGCCACATTTTGTAGTGGAATCTTGTTTGTAAATGCTCACTTGCAAGATGTGAGGCAATTGGAGGGTTATGGGAGCCTGGAAGACCGACCGCAATGCTAAAAAACAAAAAACCTCAATCCAACAAAATTCGTGATTTTACGAAATTTTTGGCTCAAAAGACGATTTCATTAAATCGAGGTTACACTATACCTTCTTGCTATATCACATTCATGGCAACTGGGTCGCATCTTCATTGGCAGCTTTGATGAAGCTTACTGATTTAGCCTCAATCAAGGAATTGTAGTATCAGCTCACTGCATGTGGAGATATAGGTGCACATTTTTTTATGTTTTCCTGCCACACACTGCACTTTTGCTCCTTGCATATAGACCCTTTCCGTTTAACCTTGTCTCCAGCTATGCAGTTCACATATTAACGCGTAGCGTTAAGAGCTCATGTCGCAGAAAAGCCGATGTTGGTGGCGTGACGGGAAAATTCTAATGTGTCGATAGGGTCAAGACGTCACAGTCACATGACCTCGCGCGGGAATTTTAAACAACCCACAACGTTCCCGTGTGGAATGAAAGTAATTAAAAAACATGACATATAACACAAATTAAAAGTCGCCGCATGTTTGAAATTATTTCACTTTACAAAGCAATTAATTTGCCTTAAAGAAAAATTCGAAGAATTTTAGGCGGGATTCGAACCTACGACTCTTCGGTTGCGAGCCAGACAAGCTACTGACTAATCCATGTCTGCCTCACTCCCTGCTCACTGGCAGAAAGAATGTGAGAAGCGAATGAGAAGGCAATACAAACGGGGCACAATAACGCAATTGCATTCCTCTCTTAAGGCAAAGCTTAAGTGTCCTCCAAGTTTCTCGATGTGGGGGACAAAACAAAAAGCAAGACATTACAACCTAAAGTAATTAAAGAAATACAAAAGAGGAAAAAAACAAGAATGAGTGACAGTCACAATAGAAACGTGAACACTTCCCAGTGGTGTGGCAGAAGCAAAAGAATGTTTCCTCCTTTCCCAGACGTTCTGTGATTCAAGGTGGCGACACATGTGTGTAAAAGGTCTATGTGCAAAAGCACAGCGCGGTGTGGAGCCTCAACACCGAACTGCAATGACTCACAGCTTTCTTCTTGAGCAGCTTGTCGAGCCTCCAGCGGTCGCTGTGCGTCATGGGCCGCTTGAGGAAGATCTCTGGCGTCAGCCACCAGTCAGCAATGAAGATCTCTTCCCTCGCCAGCTCGATAGCGTTGGCCACTGCCTCGCAGTACTTGGCGCCGTCAATGAACCTGCGCCACACGACCCCAAGCAAAGTCCCAGCCTGTACTATGCTCATTCCCTAATGGACCTTTCCGGAAAATCTCGTATGGCTACGCGGCCATCTCGCATTGCATCACGTGGCGCGGGGGAATCGTGGGGCTGCGTTGATGTACTCTAGAACCGATTTGGATAATTCAAGTTCTGGAGGCGAAATGGTTTTTAACCTCTTATCCCTGTAGGTTCTTAACACAAAGAGAACAGAACAAACCCAAAACAAAGACAAAGCCAGCACATACAGTGAAAGCTCGTTAAATCACAACTCATTAGTTCAAACTTTTGGATAATTCAAACCATTCCCCATGGTCCGGTCACGCTGCGTAGATGTACATGTGTAAAACAACCCGTTAATTCACGCTCTTCGTTTTCCGGCACCGATAATTCAAACCGCGCGTCGTCATGCGTGGAGCTTTTCTGGTCAAGTGACAAATGGCGCGGCGGGAGCCGCGTCGCCGCGCGTTCCTAAATGCGGCAGGCGCGTTGCATGAAACGCGAGAGCGTCGCCGGTATTCACTGTCGGCCAATAGGAACGCGCACATGGATATTTGGAACAACATCGCCAGGCGTTCAGAAGACCAATAGGGGCGCTAAGGGTGGTTTCTTTCGCGCTTTTTGAAGCCCTTCACGTCCTTTTGTTCTCCACATTACCAGTTCTGCAGTTCTGTTACCGTGCCTCGTTGATCCGGGCCTACTGTGTTTGAGCCGTTGCGCGATCGCCAATCCATTTGTGCTGGTGACTTAGCTAATGGTGTTGGCCGTACTGGCCGTACGACCGAGCTACGTGCTACGCACTTTGAGACCGCGATGTCGTAATTGGGTATACTGGCCTGAGGAAAGTATCACGCCAAAACGCTCAGAGAGAAAGTGGAGATTTTGCGTGAAGTAGACGCAGGAAAAGCGAGCAAGGTCGAGATTGCCAAAAAGCACAAGATCCCGAGGAGTATGTTGTCAACCTACGTCAGCAACAGGAAAACAATCGAGGATGCCTATGAAGCTAAGGTTTTTGCCCATGGCAGAAAAAGACTTTGCTCTGGCAAACACCCGGATTCGGAGAAGGCGCTCATCACGTAAGTTAAAGAGATGAGAAGCCAAGATCTTCCTCTCAGCGGCCCCATCATCATGGCAAAGGCAGCCGAGTTCGCACTACATTTGAAACACCACGACTTCGCCGCGTCTGAGGGATGGTTCCATCGCTTCCGTCAGAGGCACAACCTTGTCTTCCGTATCGTGTCTGGTGAAGGTAAAGACGTGAGCAAGGAAACTTGTGCAATGTGGCGAAATGGATCCCTGCAGGGCTACCTGGAGAGCTACACGCCGCGGGACATCTTCGACGCGGGTGAAACCGCTCTATTTTTTTTTAACTCTTGCCGGACAAAACGATCACGTACAAAGGAAACAACTGCGCAGGAGGGAAGCGAAGTAAAGAGCGTGTCACCGTCTTGGTCGCGGCAATTGTGACTGGAATGGAAAAGCTTCCCCTGCTCGTAAGAGGAAAGTCGATGAAGCCTCGGTGTTTCAAGAACATTCGCACACTGCCAACGGACTACGAAGCCAACAGAAAGGCATGGATGACTGGCGAGTTGTTTAAGAAGTGGCTTAAGAAGCTGGAGAGAAAGTTCGAATTGAGCAACCGACAAATTCTGCTTATCGTAGACAACTGCTCAGCGCACAAGGTCGACGTAGAGCTGAAGGCGATTAAAACTCGTGTTTCTTCCACCAAACATGACTGCAGCACTCCAGCCGATGGACGAGGGTGTGATCAAGAACATCAAGTCCTTCTACAGACGTCACATGCTGGAACGAATGGTTCTTTGCACGGCCAAAGGGAACCAGACTTATAACGTGGTGCTCCTCAGTGCCATGCACATGCTGGTTCGCGCATGGAACCAAGTCACCACCGCAACAATTGTGAACTATTTCCATCACTGTGGTTTTAGTGTCTTGGGTACGGAGGCGGCTGGCAGCGACACCGGAGAGTGTGAGGTTGTTTTTGAGGGCATGCGTGATCTGCTGCAGGACGCGAGTTTTTCCGATTACGTTGATGCAGACAGTAGCGCGGTGATCTGTGGCGCTATGACAGACGAAGACATCATCGCTCAAGTAGTTGGCGAACCCGTCGTGGACGCGGAGAACGACGTCGATGATGAGGAGGAAGAAGTGGGGGTGGAAAAAACTCTGATTCGGCCATCCGCGCCAGAGGTCATGGATGCATTGAACGTGGCGCGTCTTTTCTTCAGCTTTGAAGAGGGCGAAGAAGATGCCTTGCGCTTGGTGCGTTCCCTTGAAAATAAGCTAATGACCATAACTTTCCAAGAAAAGACGCAGATAATTATCACTGATTACTTTGAATAATAAAGGTATGCCGTTCTGAGCGTTTCCTGTGCAAAAGCGGCCTTTTTTTTTTCGTTTTTCATTAGTTTGAATTTTGTTTCATTCAAATTCTTTTTGCATCCTCGTGCAATTCGAATTAACGAGCTTTTACTGCACTTTGTTTTGTTATCATCCTGCCTTTGCATCCTGAAATCAAGTGGTCAAACCAAGGTGAACTTCTTTTTTTTATTTGCAGGTACGCCTTCATGGACCATGCATTAGATAGCAGTAATGCAAAGAGAAGAAGATAGAGGCACTACATCTTTACGAAATGTCGTCCATTAATACACTTTGTTCCCCAGACAAACACTCCTGGAGAGCCTGCTACAGTCTAGCCTGGCTATCGAGGAGAATGTCCAACCGTCGCGCCCAAAGCGGCTAGGTTGAGAAGTAAACCTACGGGGACAGGAATAACAACGTATTTTTGCTGCGTTTCCGATGAGGCGCTCAGTAGATGCAGATGAATGCCAGATCACCGTTTGGCTGGGGCTCAAGCTCAATCTGTGAAAAACCCTTTGAAGACGAGTCCTAGCCGTAACGCAACACTCGTGCCCAGTCCTTGCCCCACGCTCAGTTGTGAAAGGTGACGCAAAAAATCCAGAACACGGGCCTCGTCTTAGGTAAACACCCGTCTCTGCGTTAAAAACAAGCTGGACAAAGCACGTTCTATAGCTCAACCTCCTTGCCAATAACGAACCCACTTACAGCAAATTAACAAACGGAATGTCAATGGGGAAGCAAAACAAGATCGATGCTGACCTCGGTGACAACGTTCGCAGTAGCTACAGGAAAAGAATTCGACGCGCTACTTATGGTGATGTGGGAGCCACACTCTGCAAGTCGTTTGCGAATGCAGGCGCAAAGGCCTTTCTATTGTATGCCCATTTCTACATCACCATTTGTCTCGTAGCAATTGGGGCCTCTTGTTATTGCCCCCCTACAGGGTGAAAACGGCATCCGGCATCTCTCCGAGGTGCCCGGCCTATTGCCCTTTGTCGTGGTTTGGCTGCGCGCGCATGCTCAAAGCTCGCGAGATGCTGAAGCGTTGTCGAAGGTAGGGAGCTAACGCTGGAGGCAGAACAACTGAAGGACTTCCCCACAGACTTTATCCTGTCAGTGATTATAGTGAAGGTTTGGGGTTTTGTCTTGGCCACGACGACTTAAAGCCAAAAATACGAACAAATAAGCTCCAAGTGCTATCTCGAGAAAAGAGAAATGCCACTCACCAGCGACAGCGGTTGGACGAACGGACCGGCACAAAGGCGTCGTACCGATTGGGCATGGTGAAGTCTTTTCCCGAGGACTTTGCCAGGTCCTGAAGGGTGTCCTTCCATTCCCGCTCCTTACGCTTCGTCCAGCACTTCACAAGGAGGTTCCTGCAGGCGTTCACACGTTCATTCACCACGCAGCCGCTCCCGTGCCCTCCCTCATGCACTTCGAGGCCATGGACCCGCGCCGTCGAATTTCTGACACTGTACGAAGCTTACGTTGCTACAAAGCAAATAAGGTCAACCCTCGATAATAAGGAGCTCACAAAAACAGCAAAATAATTTTTAAAAAAAAATGACAAATCGGTAATTTGTTTTAAATTTGTTTTATTACTACTGTAAAATAAAACCCAGCAGGTGTTACAACTCAATTAGCGTCAAGAGTGCCAATTAAGGTAAAGTGTGCAACGACCACAGCACGAGTAACAAATCCAACCACCGGGTCTCAGATCCCTGAAGTTCGAACAAGCGCGTCGGTGGTGAAGGCCATATAGTGGAACGACACGCAGTCAACTTCTCTGCTCACACCCTTTGACTTTTCTTAAAAGAAGAGAGAGAAAAAAACAGCCCCTGCTTGCTCTCTCTTCGAATGGTGTAAAGGATAATTCAAATCAGTTCCATTCGCACATAACCACGTGACCGGTATAATCACGGCTTAAAGTTAGGAATAAGGAAACTTTTTCTTAAGGGTTCTTGTGCTATCGGAGCTTTCAGATCTCAAGGTCACGAGAAAAAGCATCCAAATTACTCGGATCCAGAGACGTTTCCTTTAGAATCGTGCGTCAACATTTTTTACGCTGTCGCGCACCCATGCTTCTAATTAACCGAAAAATCAAATAAATCAACCTCGAGTTACCGAGAGTCTACTGCAGTGGAGTTTCGGTACAGAGAAATCTTTACCTAGATCTCCCGAAAGCCACTAGAGCGAGTCCTCGAAGCTTAAGCGACAGCATTCACTCGAACTCGCTCGAGGAAGTTCAAGTGAATGTGTTCACTTGAAATAAGTCAAACTCACCTGAAGGAGTTTGTATGAAAGTGTTTATTTGAACTTAAACTCACTCGAAGGAGTACTGTCGATACCGGTAATAACGAAGTTGGTTATAACGAAATAGTAGCTACAGCGAAGCAAACCCGATTTCCCATTCTACATTGCACTTTGTTAACCGAAGTCAGTCACAACGAAATAGCGGATGTAGCAAAGTGATTTCCGATTCCTGTTGACTTCGTTGAAACCGGTGTCGACAGTATGTTCAAGTGAACATTTTCACTTGAGCTCCTGGAATTCAGTTGAAAGAGTTTAAGTCAGTTCAAATGGGTTTGACCAGATTCACATCAAATGCAGACAGAGGGAGAGAAAGAAAAGGCACCCTGCAAGATAAGAAGAAAAGCAAAAAAAGAAAAGAAAAATAAACAACCGACCTGGTGAGATTCGTGACGAGCAGGCCATGGTTGACTCCCGTGGCCATGAAGCCGGACTGGATTTGGAAGCCCTGGTCCATCAAGAGAACCGACTTGATCGCTCCGTCGCGTGGACGTACGTACAGCACGCACGTGTCCTTCGCAATCAGCCACCTGCACGAGGTGGACGGGGCAAGTCGTGCCACCCCCTTCGCATGCCGCCAAACACTCTAAAACAGACGGCGCTTCACTCGCGTCAAGGTTTTGAAAGCACAGGGGGTTGGGGTGCTCACAATTTTATTTTACTAAGGCGGCGGTTTTTTTAACTTCAGAAGCTAAACACAATTTTCGAATGCTCGGGCTTCTCTTTCTCATCTCGAGATTTAAAGGGCTACCGAAAAAAATTTCAGCTTTTTCACTCTGGTGAAGAAGGAAGACCAGCGAAGCTGTAATATGGTCAGAAGACCTCAAGGACGTTTCCTAGGACAACTTCTCGGACAATGTCTAGGATGACCTCAAGGATGACTTCTAAGACGAGCTCGAGGACGACGCCTAGTGGACAACCTCAGGGACGACATCTAGACGACCTCAAGGATGACGCCTAGGACGACCTCAAGGACGACTTTGAAGACAACGTTTAGGACGACCTCAAGGACGACTTCTGGGACGACTTCGAGGACGATGTCTAGGATGACCTCAAGGATGACTTCTAAGACGACCTCGAGGACGACGCCTAGTGGACAACCTCAGGGACGACATCTAGACGACCTCAAGGATGACGTCTAGGACGACCTCAAGGACGACTTTGAAGACAACGTTTAGGACGACCTCAAGGACGACTTCTAGGACGACCTCAAGATGGACTTCTAGGACGACCTCAAGAATGACTTCTAGGACGACCTCGAGGAAAATCTCTCAGACGGCATTAAAGACGACCTCAAGGATGACGTCTAGGACAACCTCAAGGACGACTTCTAGGACGACCTTGAGGACAACATCTAGGATGACGCCTAGAGAAATTCAGCCTTTCCACTGTAGTTTTCACCTAAGTGGAAAGGTTGTCGCCATCTATGAGCAAGGCTAGCAAGCCAATTGTCCGGTTGCTGCCGTCGCTCATAGATGACGGTAGCTGTTCAGAGTTTTGTGCCGACATTTGTTTGCGGGTGACACGATCCTGGGGAAACTAGCCCTTAACAGCTCCGCTGTAATAATTTATGGCGAATCGCTCGGCGATTGCATTGCGTACATGACATGTTCTAGCATCACAATTGTTTGGCGATATCCCGAGTTTCCGGACGCCTAAGTTCACGGTGCTCTTCATCTGATAGTTTAACGCATATCACATGCACATTTGATAGTTGTTCCTAGAATGAAGCGATACGTCGCTAAACGGGCCGATAACCCTGGCAATCTTCCAGAGCCTTCCACACTCTCGAGCTCCTCGGTGCGCAACACCTCCTCGTCTACCTCACTCCTCCTCGCCTACCCCTCTGATCATATGACCTCCCCATCAACCAATCGGCGTCGAGCACCTCACTCCTCCTCTCCCACCCGTCAATCAATCGGTGTCGAACCTCGTGGCCACACTTTTATCTAAGCATCACTTCTGGGCTTCACGGAATGCCGACACATAGCCAAAGAATGTTTCACATTCAAACGGCAAATGGAGGTGATGACAAAACCAACATTCAAATCCTCCCGAGCTCTCCAATAGGGTCACGGATTGTATAACTTGCAAGTCGAGCAGGCAGTCTAGGAAGCACAGTATTTAAAGCGTTTCTTTTTCTTCTGCTGGTGTGAGCTTAACCGGCATTCCTTCCACACCATTAAACTTCTTGTGACCCCGACGTCAAATTTTCGGTGTTGTCAATACGTAAGGGACGAGGCGGCGGAACATTTGTGACACTGGGATGAGCATTCCGCCGGCACTCGTGGTGCCCACGGAAGAAGTAGGGAACAAATTATAGGCTTCTGCTGAACCTGACAACGTCATGGTTCACCCCACGTGACGCCCCTTTGCCTCAGCCTGTCCATTCTCGGTGCCACTGCAAGGAAGAAAATCAGAGAGAGAATGACGTGGCGACGCCCCACAAAGGTTCGACGATTGGTGCCAGGAACGTAGATATTAAACTCGGGCGCCGACTGCGTTTCTCGTAACTTAATTCTGCATACTACACCCTGATGAACAGATCGAAATACAGCTGCAAACTTCTTATTTATTAATGCATAATACCACCAGCCCTTTTGGGACTGCTACAAAAGTGCAAAACTACATGCACAAAAAAAAAAAATTTTTTTTATTACCGTATTTACGCGATTCTAAGCACCCCTTTTTTTTTGCGCCTGTGATGCACAAGTAGGGGGGGGTGCTTAGATTTGAAAAATGCCAGAATCTCACCAATTTTACAGTAGAAATACAAGTTTATGTTACGGCAATGCAAAAGTAGATCATACACTGGAATTCCAACAAGCATGGAAGAGAATTGCAGTCTACTAGATATCCACCACGCTCACTCGCTGTCACTCGACGCGCTCGACGGCGAGTCGTCAGTGCCACTGCTCGAGCTGCCGCTGGCGTTGCTCTCGGTGTCCCACAGGACATCGTCCTCAGACCCGTCCATGCAGTTAGTGATGCAGCATTTCTTGAAAGATTTCACGACGACTTCGGGTCGGACCCTCTTCCATGCGTCCGATATCCACATCGCGACGGTTGACGCGGAGGCTTTCTGCAGCCTTCCAGTTGGCGTCTTCTTCCGGTCGGGATTGCGAATCCAGTCTTCGTATTCCTGCCGCAAGTTCTCCTTGAATGGCTTATTTATCGAGACGTCAAGCGGTTGCAGCACTGGCGTCATCCCGCCCGGCACAACTACGAGATCGCAGTTGCAGCCTCCGAGCTCTTCTTTCACCTCCGGGGTAAGGTGGCCGCGGAACGCGTCGAGCAAGAGCATCGACTTCGTTCCCTCGGGTGCGCCGAGCGATGCTCCTGGCCGTTGCTTCCAGACAACTTCAATCCAGTCGAGCATTAGGTCACTGGTCATCCAGCCCTTCTCCTGGACTCTTACAACGACGTCCGAAGGAAAAGTTTCATTCTTGGGCATGTTCTTTCACTTTAGAATGATGTACGGAGGCAGCTTCCGGCCGTCAGCTGTAACGCACAGCATCACAGTGACACGCTGTTTCTCATAGCCGGTTGTTCGGACTCGAACTTCCCGGGCGCCGACTTCATTCACCGTACATGTCCTCGGCATGTCGATGTAGACCGGAGTCTCGTCGGCGTTGCCGATTTGACCAAGGGCATAGTGGGACTTCCTTCGGAGCTCCATTACGTATTGCTGAAATTTCACCAGCTTATCTTCATAGTCGAGGGGGAGCTTCTGGCATATTGTTGTGCGACGTCTTAGAGAAAAGCCGTTCCTTCTCATCATGCGTTCAACCCAGCCTCGACTGGCGCGGAACACGGCACGGGAAATATTCATCCTTGTCGCGATCTCCAGGGCTTTTGTTTGCATTGCGTCAGCGGTGACAGCGAAGCCGCTGCACCTTTCGCTGCGGACAAACTCACACAGTTCTTTTTCTAGTTCGGGGTGACGGCCTCGGCGTGGTCCAGTAAACTTCTTGCGTGTGGCAGCACCCTTGAAGATCTGTTCCCGTGCTTTCCGCCACCGGATCACGCAAGCGCGGTCAACACCGAATTGCTCGGCCGCGTTGTGGTTGCCGTTCTCCTCCGCAAACAAGATCGCCATTCTCTTGAATTTTAGCGTGTAGGAGCTCCGCTTCGCACTCATGCTGATCAAACTCGAACCACTTCTTAACAAGACAGCACACTAGCAAAACGGGCGACAGTTGGCGACGGGCAGCGGCGCAATGGCGTAATCTAATCACGATGGCGGACGCGCGTGGCGGCCGTGGCGGCTGCGATGTGGTGCGACAGTCGTGGAATATGTGCCGCCATCTATCCACCGGTGCTGAAACTGAGCATACGGCAATCCGCAAGTCTCGCTGCGCGCCCGCGTGCCGACGCTCGGACGCAAAAATGGGGGTGCTTACATTCGCGTGCAAACTTTTTTTACCGTTCCGACTGGAGAATTGGGGGAGGGTGCTTAGAATCGAGGGGTGCTTAGAATCGCGTAAATACGGTAGTTATTGTTGCAACCAAACAATATAATCAATACTCTCCGAGGCGAGTCTATAAGCTCCTTTTGTCCGTGCTCCCGACATCTCGTAATATTTGATGGTGACTACATTTGAATTTGAATTTCAACAGGGAAGGAAACGGGTAAGAACGATGTGTTTCATCAACAAGCAAATGCAAAGACAAAAAAAAAAATGATGTAAGGGAGAGAGGCACCTCTTTCGCCATCGGCTGCAGCACTGGTAGAAGAGGAAGTTTATCCGGAGGCAGCCCCTGGAACTGTGGTGTCCTCCCGAGCGCTTGTACACCAGGCCCTCCTTGCCCTTGGGGCCCAGGGCACCCACAAAGGACAGGTGGCTCACCTCCAGAAACTCCATCTGCCAGGCACGTACGCACGCAGAGGTGGACGTAAATCGACGGGTTTAAGAAAGAATGAATCCCCGGGGGTTCTCAAACTATCTCGAGGAACCTGAATCTCCCTCAGATGGCAGCTGAGGAGTGCGTCCCGGACTCGAAATTGATGCGGTAAAGCGGTGCAGAAGCATACAGACCTCGTAAACAGTCATGCAAACACTAGCGAGCATTTGGCTCCTAGTTGCGCATTAGCGAGGGGCACTTCTAGAAACCCTCATCGAAAGGCATGTGCAGAAAGGTGGACAAGTCGAAAAGTAGACGGTCCCAGGAAAGAATGAGTCGAGCAACCGGACGTCTGCGAGCCTGCCGTAATCCACCATTTTTGAAACTATCAGTTTAAGAGCTACATAACGGTAAGGGCATGCACTTACATCGTGCAAGTGAACACTCAATAGGAGCATTCCATCGGGCAAAATGCTTCCTGCTCGCCTGTGCGGCGCCAAAACCTCTTGAGCTTGCAGTTTTTGAAAATGGCAGAGTAGTAAATTTAAAAAATGTGTTTGATTGATCAATCAATCAATAAACAATCATTAAGTGCATCGGTGGATTCACCAATATTATGCGTGACAACCAATCAGCCAATGAATGCAATCAATTTTTATGTCAGCATTTACGAAAGCTCAGTATGGCGCATGACAAGTTCTGGCCACCTGTTCCGTGGTAACCAATTGCATGCAGTGTATCACCCAATCAATAAAAGTGGCATGAATAAATTAAAATAATTGCATTAATTTACCTGACTGGCTAAGCAGTGAGATAACCAGATGTGATAAACAATCATTGGACATATCAATAAACTCACCAATGTGAGTAAAAATTCATGCAATTCACCAACCTTTACTGTCAGGGTCAATTTAAGTGGTACAATAGAGCTAGTTAATCATGCCAATTAACACCCCAAACAGTGGTGCAGAAAAAAAAATTGTTTAGTCGAAAGGGAGCGACTTTTAGTCATCCCCTTCTGCGTCTGTTCCTTTAACTAAAAGATTTCCTTTTTCTGCATCACAGCCTTCGGTGTTAGACGACATGATTAGCTACCACCAAAAGACTGCGCACTTAAGGGTTCGTTCACACTCTTGCGACTGCTTGCGACCTCTTAAACCTGAGTTCCTTAAAACTTCTTAAACCAGAGAACACACTGGCGCCATCTATTGGGAAGCAGTGTAAACTCGGCGGTCCGGCATATTTCTTTTTATTTCTCGCGCAATATCCTTTCTTTTTTTGGCTCGAAAAGCTTTTGTCAATGTTATAAACGAGCCTTTCTATGGGTATTACGCACATTTGACCTCGGAAATCCCGCAAAACCTTCGCTTTTGTGAAATGCAGTTCTAGGGTCACCGCATAGATGGCGCCACAATGTCAGTGGGTTCCCTCATTCTAGAAACATTTAAGAAGTTGTAAGAGATCTCGTCTCTCTCAGTCGTACTCGGTCGCAAGAGTGTGAACGGGCCTTTAATCTTTTCATTAATAGGGCTAGTGTTTTGCGAATATTCAGATTTTTGCATAGCAGTTTAGAATAATATGCTATTCAATATTTGCTTCGAGATGAACTGCGATATTCATGCTTTTCGAGGTATTAATCACGGTGAATTAGCCCTGTTGAGTGCGCTTCTCACCTAGCACCTATACACTGCGAAGGAGCAATAGCCGCGGAGCTCGTGGGCTCAGCGGGTATTGCTTCTTCGCAGTGTCCAGGTGCTCGGTGAGAAGCGCACTCAACGGGGCTAGTTCGCCGCGATTACACAGGAGAATGTGTTAGGCAGCAACGTCTTGACAACCAGCGGTCATCATTCCTGCTTGTTTTCTTTCGGGAGGGTCAAATTTGAAATATAGGAAAGCATATTTGCATAAAGAAATCAGACTCGCAAATCCCTTCGATTAGGGTATCTGCAACAATTTAGTAATTTACATGTCACAGTTAATAAATATAGCTACATTAAAATTAACTGAGCTTAGAAGTGGACAAGTGGAAGTTTGAGAACAACCTTCACGAGTTCAGCTAAATTTTCGTTTAAGCATGATAGATGGTAGTAGAAGGCCTGGAGAAACCACACCATATTTGATTCCAAAATATTCTGCCAAAACCACTATTCTCTTCGAATTAGCTTCAAACTCAAAATTCAGTATTTCACAGATGATGAAATAGAGCACATGGCACCAGCCATAATTACGCTGCATCATATTTTTGGGATCATTATAGATATAAATGCTTTAATGAGAAGCCATTTCTTGTAAACATGATGATATTTAAGCTGTAGCAAAGCTACAATCTGTTATTGAGAGGCCAGTTGCTCGTGAGTTGCACGTGACTCTTTCGAGTATCAGTTTGCAGCTCTTGAAATGTTACAAACACAAGTGTATTTGCAGTTTTCATGCCGCCATATTTCATTATAGTGTTACAGTTGCCCGTCTTGTGAATGCAGACTGGGGCTAGGGGTCTAGTCAGACAATCTATAATGTAGTCTTTTGCCTCAACTCCAAGGCATTTTTGTATCGTCAAAAGATTGGAATATATAAAAGGGTAGTTGTTTTTGTCCACAATGTGCAAAGAAGTGAAAGCGATAGCTATAGAACGTTCGCACAATGCAGGCAAAATGGTGTTGTCACGTTCCCGAGGACAGTATGTAACGACACCCTTTTGCCCCCATTGGGCGAATGTGCTACAGCTATCCCATTTCCTTCTTTACACATTGACAGGATGACCTGTGCCGACGCAAGCGAAGGTGCAGGTTTTCCCAGCGCTGTTGGGAGGTGAAGGGACGTAGTAATATGGACGTTCAGCGACGAGCGGAGAAAGGCACTCGTGCAGAGAAACGAAGTGAAGCTCTGCGGGGAAGCGGGTGCAAGGCGACAGATTTTGGCAGAACATATCTCATGTTTCGAGTTGCGTTCAAGAAGTAGTCGTAGAGATGTTATGGCGAAATCGAACGCAGTGCAAGTCTCTAAAGCCCTCCATTAGGCACAGCAACTGCCAAAGTGGTATTTTGCATAATGCGAGTAACTTCTGAAAACACCTGTTTTTAAGTTATTGTAAGCAGATGACAGGGGAAGACGTTCCGCCGACGTTTCCTTGTCGTCGCGCCATTATCGGCGAGTTGTCAGGGCTCTCTTCTCTGCCCTCTTTGCACGGCGTGGCCAATAAAAACACCCAACTTCTCTTTCCTCGTGCCATGAGGGGAGAGAATAAGGGTTTTTTCATCCCAACTGTGACGACAGACAACAAACGCCGACACCGAAACCCCTACAAAAAGTCACCTATGACGCTAGTATCACTTTAAAAAAATGCAAAATTTTTTTTCAATCCAATGCAAAATTCTTTTTCTTCTTTGGAAACTTTGCAGTCAGTGGTAAGTTGGAGACGATACAAAAACGATTACCATAAAGTTCCGACAGAATGCTTGCCCCCGAGAGATTGCCCATCCCGTTTTTCTGGCTAAATATCTCTCACAGAAATTCTGAATGATGGCCCAGCCCAATTCCGGTTGAAGGTCACGCGAAGTCCGACGGGAATCGCATCAACTGCGCAATTTGCTGTACCGGCACGTCTGACAAGCGACTTCATGGCAAGTTCCTGCATTTTTGTCCGCAATCTGCGCGCGCGATATCAGCTCCCATAACACGCCAGTTGTTCCCGCGTGTATGTTGCACTGTAAAATGCGAATCTGCTGCGTCCGCAATTTGTAGCATCCGTTCCCGTGACATTAAGTTTGTAGCGGATTCCCGCGTTTTTGTCTGAGAACTGTGCACGCAATCTCGATTTTACGCAAGTTGGTCCCGCGTATATATGTTCCATCGCGAAATATGACTCTGCCGTGTTCGCGATCTGCAGTATTTGTTCTTGCAACATACAAGTTTGTAGCGGATTCCTGCGTTTTTGTTTGCAATCTGCGCGCACGATATGGGTTCCCGTGACAGGCAAGTTTGTAGCAAGTTCCCATGTCTTTATTGCACTATAAAACTTGAATCTGCTGCGTCCGCGATTCGAGGTATTTGTTCTTGTAAAATGCGAGTTCTCGGCGGGATCCCGAAGGGTCCTTTGCACCGTGAAACCCAATCCGCTGCGTCCGCAACCTGCGGTATCCTTTCCCGTGACACAGGAGTCTGCGGCGAATTCCCGCGTGTTTATCGCATCGTGAAACACAAATTTGCGGTCTCTGCAATCTGCGGGATTGGTTTCCACGTCACGTGGTTTGTGGCCAGTGCCAGGGTGTTGTTTATCATTCATTTTTGATAAAGATTTGCTCTGACATCCCCAAAGATAACCCACTCCATATTTTTCACCATTTGTCTCTTCATTTTGGGTGGACATTCTTTCGGAACATTACGGTAATTCAAAAGAATCTGATACACATTTATTCGACATGCAAAGTCATGCTCAGAACTGCCAGCGTAGGTCGCATTACTGCATTGAAAAGAACAATCTAAAAGGGGCCTCGCAAGTGCTACATGTATTCTACCATCTGGCACATGCTGTCACGGTGGGCAACATTAAGACAAGAAAGAGTGCCAGCTTACCGTGTGTGGATTCATCCTGTAGGAAGGAACCATCATCAGATTACGTAGGTAAGCCTCCAACTGTTCCTGCAATTCAAATGTACCAACCGTTGTTACAAACTTTACGAGTCCACACAACAAACGATGGCATAGGCAGCCTATAATGAGTTCACCGCACTAAATATTTCAGCTCAGAACAAACTAATTCATACTGGAGTGAGCTAATGCTGTCTGCAGGAGCGTTTCGTAAACCGATACAGAAATAAGCTCTATTTCCAGCCTCTTTCAAATAAGGAGTATTTTTATTTCTCCTTAACATTCAAAGCTACAATCCAGAAAAATTTATAATTCGAGGAAACTGTAGACTACAACTCCGAAATTTACTCCCCGAATAACTCTGAAACTAGATTTTGAAAACACGAAACGTCATGTATAGAACAAGAAAACTTTCCAAAGATCCCTGGCATGTCTCAAAAAAACAGTCTCTAGCAAGACTAACACCATGCTAAGCGATTCTAGCAAAAGCAAGAAGCACCGAACATACATCCTCTGACACTTCTGAAGAAATTATTTAGCAGCTCCCTATTTAGGGAAAAAATGGGCATTCCTCACTTTGTACATTTAGAATGTATACTTGGAACTTCTAAGAAAATTCTGTGACAATTCCTATTTAAGGGAAATTGATATTCCCAATATTCTTCAATTACAGTGTCTGTACTTTATACATAAAGAAAACTTTCCCTGGCAGTTTCCTGTTTGGGAAGAAAAGCGAATGTTCCCCATTACTCCTCAATTAGAGTGTCTGCACTTGGTACCTCCAAGAAAATTGCTCAATATCCCCATTTTTGGGGAAAACGGATTTTCAACATTTTTCCCCAAATTAGAATACCTGTACTTGATACTAGAGATGTCGCAACCCTGCCAGGGGTTGAGTTTGAATAGGGTTGACATTTCCAAACTTCTAAGATGAAGTTTGACAAAGGTTCGTCAAAAGCTCCGACTTTTGCGTACACGCGTATAGAAAACGAGCTGATGCCACTTGGCAGAGGAAAAGTGCCAGCATTCTTTGACATTAAAAAACTAATAAAAGCAATGAAGTATACATATTTACTTTTATACTGTCTGAAGATTGGTAATAATTTTATAAAATAGAAAAGCAACCACTTTATACATTACTTGTTTCCACATAATTCAAAATTTTTGTGTAGAAACGTGGCAACACTGCTTACGAGTTGAACTTCGTCGAAGGTTCGCCAAACCAGCTGAACCTCGAGGTTCGACAAAAGTTTGCAACATCCCTACTTGATACCTAAAACATTTCTCTAACAATCCCCTGTTAAAAAGAAAAAGAAAAGGGTGGGTATTTCTCATTTTTTAAATTAAACTATGTCATACCTCCTTGTCTATAGTCCACATCCGGTGTATAGCCTGCAGGGCCAAATAATGGCAGAAAAAAAGTTTTCCTTATATAAACAGAAATCACTACTATTAGCGTAATCTGTCATTCCCAATCTGGTCATAAAGAACAATCTTGAAAAAAATAATTCTTGTACAGTCGGCACCTGCATGTAGGCTGCACCAAGCAAACTTCAATTTTTTAAATGTGTACAATTTGCAGACTCTAGTCTGTATTTCACAACTAGGGAAAATACACCGACAGTTCCCTACTAGGGAAAACGAAAAGGTGCCCCTTCACCCCAGCTGAATGTCTGAAGGGAAGCCACTCACAGATCTCTGCTGGACCTCGTCGTGTGACAGCAAGCTCTCGGGCTTCTTGGGGAATCGGGGCAGCGGCCTCTTCTTGGTGTTGTCCTCGCGGTAGCTACGACGTCTCTCGCGATGCCTGCAAAGGGGAGCACGGCACAAATTAATAATAATAATAATAATCTTTATTACTGAAACTTAAGGTACTCTGGGTGGCTCGCAAGGATAGGCAAGAGCCCGTACGTGCGAGCATCTGCTTGCCAGCCATTCATAAAAAAATTAGCCTCGAAGACTTCAGAGTCATCCGAAATTCCAATTCTCCTTCGAAAACATAGATGCAAACTACTTCAATGGCACGTCTGGATATCATTTCGTACAACACCTTACCAGCACAGAGCTGCCAAATCTGGTACGGTAGCTGGACGGTCGTTATACCGTTTTTTCTATCTCAGAGAACTCGGAAAAAATACTCAAGTTATGAAAGGGCCAGAAAAAGGGGCCAGACAGTGTGCCTGGGTTAAATTTGAGCGATTTCTACCCCATCCTCGTAATAAGTGTAAAACCTGACTGCTGGTATAGCAAACTAATGTATTAAAAATTGAGCACTCCCGCGCACATCCGCAGTACAGTCACAGCGAAGTCGTTGGGCATTGGCGTCGCGTTCACGCACTGTTGGGTGCGTGAACAGAAGCATTTGGAACAAAATAGAAATCTGACCATTTCGTTCCGAACGCTTTTGTTTCTTTTTTGTTCTGGAGTGCGTGAAAGTGCATCTCCCGGCACGAGCTCTAGCTTGCAGAACGGAACAAAACGAAACACGCCGGGTCGGAGAAAACGTACTGCGATTGCGGCAGGATGGGAAGATATGAGAACAAAGGGACTGTTGCCAACCTGGAAAGTGCGCACACTTCCTACCTCCTCCGGTGGTGTCGTCCCATGTGCCCGGTCACTTTCCCTTTCCCCTCGCCGAGCGTGGGGAAAGGGAAAGTCCTCCCTACACGCGCGCATGCCCTTCCCCTTGCTATTCTCCATTTTTTATTTACGGTTGCCCCTGTCTCTCCTTTTTCCCACAACTCCTTTTTCGCTGCATGCACAGACGTGCCCCCGTGCGTGCATGCTAGCCTGGTCGTCTGCCAGCCACGCAACCTGAGCTATGCGCTCGCCGCCGGCGCAATCCGACTGCGGGAGAGGCGAAGGGCGGCCGTGCTTCGTTCGCTATATTTTCGAGTGTTCGTGCCATGGGAGTTCGATACAGAAAAACAACACTTTTATACTATTACATGTGATTCTCAAAGGGATGTTCGATATAAAGAATAATTCGAAATACTAGGGTGTGATATAACCGGGCTCGACTACTTTACTTTGAAAGTATGTCCTATTTATAACACTTCCCTTTAAATTCATTGCACCCAGTGCACTCACTACTTTACTGGAGGTACATAACCTCTCATTTACTTTGTACTTTTTACTTTGAGCACTCTTTAGATGTACTTTACCCAACACTGGACAGCAGGCATGGAGCATGTCCTAGAGGCCAGGCGTTACGAAGACACATCCTCCCGTTATCACCCTGCCAGTGGTTACAACAAAAGTGGTGCTCCACTCAGCACCTTCTCCGAGCACCTCGGTGCAAAATGGAGAAGTCCATTCTATTGTGCGCCCCTTATGCATTTTCGCTCCTTGCTCATCCCCCAATTTTCCGAGATAACCTCCAGATTTCAGGTGGGCAATGCTCGCTATATTACGGTAGGTTCCCCAAGGTGGTAACATTCCGTCGGCAACCATTTAGTTACCCCGGGGGAATGGGTGCAAATTATCCGAGGAAAATTTAACAAAATCCGGCTAACTAGTGCCACGGGAGGACAGGTGGGACGGCAGAAAATTGGGACTCGCTCCAGCGTGGATCCGGCCCAAAGTGTCGACCATGTAGGTTCAGAGAGAGAGAGTCTTACCTTTTTGTGGGCAGTGGTATTGCCATGGCTGCCCTATAGATCTGCAGGTGCTGGTGCAGTTGTTGAAAATGCTTGTACCTCCGACGGATGGTCCACTGGAAGTCGCCGTGGCGCAGTTCTATTACATACCTGCACAAGAACACGTATGACAGTTTTGACGCAATAAACAGCCAGTTTATTACCCCATCAGGAATAGCCAAAAAAGGGCTCCACACGAGGAAAGCAGGCGACAGAACAAAGGTTAAGTGCCAAGACAAAAAATAAATACACAAAGTAGTACCTTAATGGCCTAAACAAAAAAACAACAACAAGCATTTAGTTTTTTTTTTATAACTGCCAGTCTGATCAAGGCACCATTCAATGAGAAATTACAAGCATATCTTGCTTAATTAGAGACTTAATTATTTTATATCAAGATAAAATCATTAGTGATCTTTTACGTGCCACTGTACAACCATTTCACCTTTACCTATGTCAGTATTTCTAAATGTTGAAAGGGTTTGCAAGAAACACACCCTCAGCACAGACGTTACAGGGGCACATTCTTGGCATGACATGTACAAACACATTTCTTAATCGGTTATTGATGCAGTTCAACAGACGCTGACAGCAATACAAATTCCTCCTTTGCTGTGATGCATACAGCATCACCTAGTCAAAAGCTGCAATGCTCTCAGACCTAAGTTCATCATTGACCTTAGCCTCTGCCTCGTAATAGCCGAAGCAGATAGTGGTTGAAGTATGTGAAAACAAGCAGCAGACGACAACCAGTAGACCATAAATATGTTTGGCAAAAGTCACAAGCAGGAGTGGGAGAGGCCCATCTGTGCCAAAAGGTAGCCACCCCTCTCACTCTTTACATTTCCTTCTTTCACTCCTCCTTTCGACATGCATGCCTTAAAAGGGGTTCTGTAAGGCAGGACTAGGAGAGGACACCCATGTAATCCCTGTGATTTCAGAAGGCACAAAATGTTTGTGCGGTGTGCTTGCAAATACAGTTTAGTGCCGCATATTCATGCCACATTATGCAAATGAAGTTAGTTTTCATGCAGATGACCCAACAGAAGGCATTTCTTTCTGCAGGCAGTGACAAGTGTGCCAATATATGGGGTGCATGTCCCATGCAGCCCTTTGCAGAACATGACAGCACATGGCAGCAGACTACAAAGGGATAACACAAGAGCAGACAACAGAAGGAGGGGACAGAAGCCACAATGAAGTGCCGACAAACAATGATACCACGGAACGATAAAGGAGAATGGTGCGGAAGAATGAGACTGCTGAAGGATTTCCAGGAGGGTGCTAGAAGAGAGGATACCAGAAGGAAACAACAGAAATAGACAATGGAATAAGACTAAAAGATGACATACTACGGAATGACACTGAGTAATGAGCGTGGAAGAAGACGGAAGAAGGATTTTCAGAAGGATACTTGAAGAGCAGATGACTAAAGATGACAAAAGAGAACAAGAGAAATAGACAATGGAATACGCTTAGAAGATGATTTATTATAGAACGACACTGAAGAATGAGTGCAGAAAAGACGGATGGATACTAAGGAGGATACTAGTAGAGCAAATAACAAAGAACCAATGAAATGGCACTAGCAAATGAGACTGCAGAAGGATTCTCGGGGCACTATCAGACAGAGGATGACTGACTATGAGGGGAGGGGAAACGGGCTGCCACAAACGCACAGGTTGGGGTAGATGATGTGGGTGCTGCTGTGGTCTCGCTCCACGGCCACAATCTTCACCTCCAGGGCGCAGTTGGGTACAAGCAGGCGGTCGCTGGGCCTGAGCAGGCTGCAGTTGGGCTCGTGGACGCGAGAGAACGCGTAACTCCTCGCTCCAAGCAACACTGGGCATCGAGAACAGGGTTAACAATGTAAGAATCTAAAAGACTAGAAATATCCCTTCAAACACAGCTTAGCTTTAGATGATGACAGCAGGGGAAAGAAACCTCATTCCCCTGACGTCAGACTTCTAGGGTTGCTACCAGCGATCCTGGTGGCAACCCATTGGTTCATTTCTTTTTGTGTTATGACACTCATTTGAACTTGATTGCTTCTGTGATTGTCTCTATACCAAAATGTTAGATTTTTTTTTTTTTTTGGCACTGGTAGCTGTTGAAAATGCAAACAATGTGCATAAACTTGATGGTTAATTGCATCACTGGATGCTTTAAAACAATAGGTCATCCAGCAAAAAGTATGAAAATGCCATATTTCACATAGCAACCAAAATGAGGTACTGTGAATGCAAAAATAACTGTTGCAACAACCGCTTGATTCAAAGATTACTTGGGTAATGTCTAACATTTTTTAATAATGACATTAGCCAAATGCATGCTTTGCTCCTTGCATGTGCAAAGCTTGTGCCATTTACTTGATAGCCTTTCATGTCAATAACTCTAGCCGCGATTACAATCTTACGTTGTTAGAAGATTTCTAGTTCGTAAAGGCCAGAAGAGTGATATCATAGCAGTACTAAACTTGATGTGCTTAGTGAACTGCCTTGTTTCAACATACTACAACAACATACAAGCGCTCGTGCACACGTTTTGAAGTACATACTATGAGCACGGCAAAAGAGAAGGCAACTCATATTTATGCACTGAGAAAAAGGCAAGCCAGCAAAGTTTCGTGTTACCAAACTAGCAATCCCAAAAGCAACAAACAAAATGGTAGAATGCACAAGGTGGCCAAGCTGCATACAGATCAGTGAATAGGATACTCTACCTAACTAGCACAATAAACAAGAGTCATTCATATTGTGGTTATGTAATAAAATTCAATTAAATGCTAATTTACTTAGCACTGCATGCAAAAAAAAGTGCTTGTTTTTCTTTTGTAATCATCACTTGTTTTTGTAATAACCTTAAAGGTAAACTAACAGTTTCTATCTTTACCCTTTCCAACTTTTGAATGGCTGCACATGAGTACAGCAAATCCAAATACTCTCCGAGGAGTCTCCCTCATGTATCCTCCTTCCCTGCCCCAATGGTAGGCACAAAAAAAGAGGAAGTGAAAAACTCTCAGCTCCGGAGGAAAATATTTCACACCACAGCCTTTAACTGTGTGCAGTTGGCAATCTTATAGCACACCCTTGACTAAAATTTCGAATTTCTCCCTCACATCGCACACTTTTCAATCCCGCCAAAACCCTGTACCCATCCCAGCATTAAAGAATTGCTTTTAAGGCTGCTGCTACCGAATTCCTACCAACATGGCAGCACGACAAGTTGTATCAACGCTATTCCACAGGGAGTGCACGCCGAGGTATCCTATCCCTCCCAAGTGAGTGAGGGTCTGGATTATGGAAATGGTCCCAGACGGATCAAGCTGGAAATTAGACCCAGTCCAGCTCTAGATGGACTGATTTTACTCTGGGTTCAGTCCAATCAATAAACAACATTCTGCCATAAGTGTCACCAGGGGCGGATGCAGGAATTTCCTGAGGGGGGGGGGGGGGGTCAGGTGTTGGTCAGCGTACCATATTTTTAGGAACCCTCTCCCCCTGTCCTTCGTTTTACGCCCTAAAATTTACACAAGCAGAAATCAAAAGGGGGGTCAGGACATCCGGACCCCCCCCCCCCCCCCCCCCCCCCCCTAAATCCGTCCCTGTGTGTCACTGTAGCTGGTGACAGGCTGAAAATTCAGTAGATGCTCTGCCTTTATCATGCACTCATCACCTTCTGCACAGTTTTGGATGGACGTGCTACGAACTGTTATCAAAGGCAGAAAGTTTGTGCTGGAGGCGGAGCATCTACTGAATTCTTAGCCTGTTACCGACCATAGACATCCCTCAAAAGCGACGAATTGTGCTGGATCAGCTCATAACGGGCAACCCCAAACTGACTAGCAGAGAGTTCCTTTGGCAATAAACAGGCACAAGGTTTAGCAAAGCTTTGCTTCGATTGAGCCGAATGAATTCAAAATGAAAGACCTCAACTAAGCCAGTGAAGAGTTCCTTTGGCACCTAACTGATGCACAAAGTTCAACATGATGCAGAATGCTCGATGCAGAAGGCTCTGCATTGGGCCTTCTGGAGTTAACTCTAGAATCCAAGCTCACATCTGTGTCACATACAGTGCTCCTTCTTTTATGCCTGCTAGACTGGGGTCACACAAACAACATCCCTTGCCTCTTAACTCCACCCAAGCGGCACAGGTACCCTACGCACGGCCACAGGGCAACCACAAAATGATAGGTCACTCCGAGGACACGCGTAGAACTGCGCTCACTGCTGGGGCTTAGAAGGCAAGGCCTGCCTAGCTAGCATTGGCATCGCCGCTGGTGCATCGTGCAGTGTCCGACAATGAGCGTGACGCGGAACGGCAAGATGGCCCTGCCGTTCTGCGGCATCTCTCGTCGAGCTCCGGGGCCTTTGCCTCCTAAGGCGGGTCGGAGATCCACCAACGACGATGGCGTGCGCCGCCCTTGTCTTTTAGGTGGTGTTGCTCCAGCGCATAGAGTCCGCACTCGCTCACCGCCAGATTTGTCTTCCCCATTCAGGCAAGGCTGCAGGTCCACTTCGTCCAGGTCTTCCAGTTCGCCTTCCGGCGGCCGGAGCTCCTCAAAGTCCGGATCCTCCTGCGCGCCGAGGGCATCCGTTGACTTCCCCTCGCCCATCGCACTCTCATTGACGTTGCTGCATGAGAAAGAGCGCCACTCATTCAATAACGCCATCGCCTTTCACCGACGTCGACTACGGCAAGAATCAAAAACAGAGCACGTATGTACTCTCTGCAGGACAAACAGACAAACAAACATTTGCAGACTCGCTGCACCAAAACATAGAAACAAAAATTTTCTAAAACAGGTGGCACACATACTGTCACCAACGTGGCATAGACCAACGGTAAAAATAAAAATAGCAGAACCTTTATTAAGCTGAACTTCTGCCTGCAAAGAAGAAATTTTACTTCAATCAGTCTTGGTAGAGACAGCGACGACCGACACTGGCCCAGGTCTTCTCCAGCTATGCACCTCAGGTGGTCGAGATTACTCCAGTGATGGAAGCGGCATTTGACCTTTTGTAACAGGTTCTGTAGCAGGCAGAATATTGTCTTGGCGCAGCCACTGACACTTTTGGAGCCGATGTCAACACCTGCGAGCACGTCACTTCCAAATGAAAAAGTGACTGCATTGCTAAATGAGGTCATATTTGACAATGTTTGAAGCTTCTTCTTAGATACTGCAGCATATTACTTATTACCTTGTTGCAAAAATAATAAATGGGGTGCAAAAGAAACACGAAGCCTCATTTTTAGAAATAAGACTCTGGTCAGAGTAGGTTCCATTGACAATGGGTACTAAAAATATTGTTAAAATGAAGCATGGTGCAACAGTTAGTTGGGATAGAGTCACCTCTCCCTTCCCACTTTTACACCTGGTAGTTTATTAAGCCTATGAACAAATTCTGTAAAAACGCCAGCAAAAACCAGCGTATCTGCTAACATGTCTATCAATAAAAATCCATCCCTCAAGTTGTATGAACCTACCAAACTCAAGACACGAATATTATAAACTGCAAAAACAACGACCTACAAATATTATGAAAACATACACTCGTGCTTTAAAAGGGACATTGCTCTTTAGCGGCGTTGAAACCAGGGTGAAGTCAAAGCTTGCTGCTCTTCCGATCGACAACTGCAGGGGAACAACCTTGACTACAAAATTTATTCAATTATACACTCCGTGCGACGCGACCGGCGCGCCGCCGCGCGGCCGTTACCGAAGGTAGGCAGTGAGAGCCCCAGCGAAACGAAACCACGCCGCGTACATTGGTACACATTGAAGTCAAAGCGGTGCGGTTGCGCTGGGTTGACAGCATGAACTGCTGCGTCGTTAAGTGCTCCAATGGTTATGCGTCGTATCTCGTGGGGACGAAGTTTCAGTTTTTCACCTCGCCGATGTTTTGTGGGACAGCGACAACAATGGACCCATGCTGTGTGACGAGAGAAATTTGGTCTCCCGATCATGTTTGCCACTGTGTCGGCACGGCTGACATTTTCTACACTGCCGCTTTGCGCTCTGCGTTTGTTTTCGTACCAGTAACGCCTACATATCTCAGCTCGAACTGAAATGCCATCCCACACTCGGGGGTATCCAGTGCGAATTTCGTTGAAGGAATGCCCTCCAAGGAAGTTTCGTCCCCGTCGCACGTGTCGATGATATTTCCGGACCAGTATGGCACGCAGTCTGTACTTCATGAAGAAAGATTCGGACGGTACAAAAAGTGACAAATATGAATCTAAGGAAAACTACAATTAAACTTGGAATCAATGGACAATTGATGTTTGAGTATGGAAGTTTATGTGGTGTGCTTTCTTTTTTGATCAGCCTCCTTTTGTATGTGGAAACGCTGACACCCCGAGTCTTGTAGACAACAATTTTTTTTCTCGACTTTAGAGCTACGTATCGCAAAGCTGTTCGAACTGGAAGTACCGTCCACTGGTCCCTTCTACCTGTAAAGTGTGCACCTCCCGGCCATGATGAGTGGTATTCTCTTCACAGCCTTTGACCGTTAAAACTGGTTCCCATTTAGTTACGCCGCCCAAAAATATTTCCACCTGGTTAAACTATGCCATTTCTTTTAGTTATAATAAGTGTTTTGTCAAGTTACGGTTGTCCAAGTACCTTTCAGCCGAAAATCAGCACCTCGCACAACCAGATTACTACACAACAGCTGACCGCAAAAGCCTTTGACGGCCAAACCGTGTGTCGGCCGGCATTTTGGTTTTCTCGGCTTTGAAGCCACCTTCCGTAAGGTTGTTTCAGTTGAAAGTACAGTGCACTAGTCCCTTCCTACCTGTAAAGTCTCCATCTCCCACGACCACTGATATTCTCTTCACAGCCCTTTCACGGTCAAAACCATGTCCCATTCAGTTACGCCGCTCAAACCAAATTTCCACCTGGTTTCCCTATGCCCCATATTTTTGGTATTTTAACTGTTGTGTCAAGTTACGGTCATGTCCAAGAACCTGTGTGTCCAAATCTGCACTTCGCACAGCCCGGTTATAACTAGGGTGTGTACTTTCCGGTGTTTATTTGTGAGAAAAATCGGCGGATGTTTTTCGGTGTTTATTTATTTTCAAAACACCGATGTATTTCGGTGGAACATCTCACGACGAGGCTAAAATCGGTGAATATCGGTGAAAAAAAGTGATTGATCACAGGCAGAGAGTTCCAGTTTTATCCACATAGTTCATACAGTTCTTCTCTAGGAAGCAACTATTTCTCACACTTGGTTATTATAGTAGATGGAAGCATACTTTCATGCTTGCATCTACACGCAAAAAACGTGCTGCCGTCATGGCAGCACGTTCCTTGCGGTTCGCCACCCGCAATTATGAAAACGCACTTTCCTGTATGACACGGACGTTGGCAGTGTCTTCCAGGAACCACAGCAACCTCTGAATACATGGCTTTCACCGACATCACTTGGCCAGACACAATGAGGAAAAGGCACGTGAGAGCCTACCCTCCAATGTGTTAATTTTTCCACAAAAGGGGGCCATGGGACACACAATAGGGGAAAGGCGTATGAGAGCTTAGCTTCCACTGCGTTCACTAGACGCTTTTGACCCCCAGAAAGGAGGGCGGACTGACGCTACCTGCAAGCCATGTACGTATAAACACTGGAAGAACGCAGGATCCATGAGATAACACGTTTGACGAACCTCTACGGGGAAAGGGTTTCGCTAGGTCGGAAACTAGCAACGACCGGTGTTTTTCGGTTTTAACCAGGGCGAAAATATCCAACCACCAGTGTTTTTCGGTTTTAACCTATTTTATATTTTCGTCACCGACGGATGTTTATCGGTGTTTTTCGGTTAAAACCGGAAAATACACACCCTAGTTATAACAACATTTTGGATCCAGTATTGGATATTCCTGACAGCTTTATTTCTTTATTCGTTAGAAACATAACTTTCACACCTGCTGTCTTAATAAAACCTGGCCCAATTAGTGCAAGTACTTAGTGAACATCTCACTCGCCTCCAAATATCTTCATACCAGCAGTCCTACGTTTACAGCGACGAGCGAAACAAATTTCCCTCTGAGAGCAATTATGTTGGCGGCCGTCTTGCTTTGCGGAAAATTGCTCAAGCCCCTTTTCGACCGCAACTAAAGAAATCACCCCTAATATTGACTCAAACTCAATATATAGGAAGCGGAGAACAGCTAAATGCCCTCCTTAAATCTCTCCCAGCACTCATGCAACGTCACCCTCAACGTATCGGCTCAAAAAGCAAAAGTTCTGTCCGTGCGCACTTCCGACGCCACAGCTTCGCACGCGAAAAGGCGCCACAGGCTGCTGAGCGCGCCCGGAAACTCCACTAGCGGCACTACGCGCGTTTTTCAAAGAGCTCCCTATAGTTCCCGCACGGAGTGTTCTGTTTTTTCTCTCTTTCTCGGCACAGTTTTTTCTTTCTTTTTTTAGAATTAGAGATCAACCAACAGTCAAGACCAGAGAAGTTAGACCAGTACTAGTACCAAGCATAATTTCCGGGCCTGTGACGCTCACCCAGGCGCTCACCCGTCAGCCGCTGCTACCAACACTCCGAGGCAAAACAGGGAAGCTCAACGCACTTAAATCTCATCAGGAGTACAAGACCCAGGATCTGTCTTATCACTCTAGTCACCACTACAAACTGCGAAAAGTGTCACGGCATTAAATAGGGCAGGCAGGTTTCGGATGCAGCAGATTTGCGTTTTACGGTGCGATAAACGCGGGAAACCGCGACAAACTCGCCTATCACGGAAACCAAGATCGCGCGCGCAAATCGCAAACATTAAAAAAAAAAAAAAAAAATGAAAGGCGGGAACGGGTTACAAATGTGCATCTCACGGGAACGAATAGAGCAGATTGCGGACGCAGCAGATTCGCGTGTCACGGTGCGATAAGCACGAGGGAACTCGCCGCGAATACGCTTGCCACACGTGCCGATACCGCAGATCGCGCGGATGATGTTATTCCCGTCGGACATCGCGTGATCGATATCCGGCGGGAATCGGGGGGGAGGGGGGGGGGGGGGTTTTAGTACTAATATGTTATAAACCCCCCCCCCCCCCTTTCACCAAAAAAAAAAAAAAAAAAAAAAAAAAAAACGGAATTGGCGATTTTTCGGGGGGCGGGCGTTTGATACGAGACTCTATTATTTCGAATACACGCGGCCACGTTAGACGCCTCCGCAAAAAAAAAAAATAGTAATAATAATATTAAATGAACGACGAACTGATGATGGGTCAGTGTTTGTGACAAAGCCACATATGCATGTCCCATTTTCGGATGAGCTGCGGCACTGCACATGGCACGAAACAACGCGCCCACACAAGTGCTTCGAAGGCACTGGTACGGGAAACAAAAATGAGCACACGACGTTTACTGTGTATTCTTCATATTCGTCCAAATACGTTATAGTATTTTTTTATTTTTTTTTTAAACAACAATAACAGCATTTACTTTTACTTACCGTGAAAATTGAAGCGGACGCGCCCGCTTCGCGCCCGCTTCAACTTTCACGATTTGTCGGAGTCGTGCGTTTTGTAGTGTCCTGTTTGGACACCCCTTTAAACAACGAAGTCGCGCGGTTTCAGCGGCGGAGAAAAGCTCACCAAATACATTTATTCGTATCGC